ACCTTTCACTGTTGCAAATGAGGGAGTTGGTACCTTGAAAAAAAGGTGTATCGAGATATGGGAGAGGAACATAGAGAATAGGTGTTTAATAGGATAGGTGTTTAAAACTATGAAATTTTACCTGATTTGGTGAAAAATCCTCTCCGTCTCTTGGTCCTATGTCTGCTGGACTGGCTCTGTGAGGGGCTTTAAGTAACTTCTACATAAACGCATTGAGTTCAGGCCTGTGGCTGACTCCAGAGATATGGCATGCTCCAGTGCTCTGCAGTCTACCAGAAGAGATGATGGGAAAGCCTGTGGTGGGCGGGCCCATGCATGTGGGCCGGGGTTAACTTTTCGGATAAACAGAAGGTATTTGGAAATACTTTTGATGAAGTCCTAGAACACAGCTGGCTGCCCCAAGCTATAATAAAATTACAATCTCATCCTTTGTTCCCAAACTATGCTATCAGATATTGGGGAGATAGATTTTGGCCATGTAGGCACTTTTTTTCCCCCCCTGTGATTTTGAGCATTTGGACAATTTGAGGGTTGGCCAAGGCAGTTTCTGTTAGAAAGAGGACGGATGAGGAGGGCTGGCTTGATGCCAATATAGCTGTTTGGCCAGTGATAATAATACCACAGCAGTTTGCCTTGCTCTTTGACCTTATTCTAGAAATATTTTCTTGTTCAAAGCTTTCCATGGCAAGAGGGCAAAGAAAACAACATGAGAGTGTCTTGGATTGTGCTTCACAGAAATGTCTCTTCCAGGGAAAGACGTTATGTGTGGTGAAACTGGACCGTCCTCTGGCCATTTCTCTTCCCCCACACTGTTTGGTTGAGATGGATAATTGGAGGATAGTTTTGAAGTATCTCCTTGACAGATCTGCTTCAGTTAAGCGCTTCTTAAATTTCTCATGTAAGCCCAGCAAGACTGGTACGTTGTTCCTAGGTGAGACTACAAGACTTCAATACATGACCGGGTTCTCAGGGCTGGTCAAAGTGGAGCCAGAACTTGCCCCCAGAGGTGGGACCCCAGAGCCTGCCCCCTTAGCGAAGCTGGCTCTTCATGGAAGAACCGGGCATGGGGATCTCTGGAAGAGAGCTAGAACATCCATGTGGATTTTACTTCCCTTTGCTTAAAGGTGGTCCTCTTGATTGATGATACACACTAGTATTTTAAAATAGCTTCAGATAAAGAAAGGAGGAATCAGACCTAGAGCTTCCTGGTTAGAAATATACCAGAAGCTATTAGGATAAGGTAGTTACAGATGGATGTGTTCGCTGATGGGCTCACTTGAGAGTTTGTGCCTCTTTTCTTCCTGACCTCTGGCAGAAGGTTCCGAGGTCTGTGATGGGAATATGTTTTCTGGCCCTTTGTCAGGTTGTGAAGAAATTACCAAAACTATTTCATTAACAGTGGAAGATTATATCTATGTTATACTTATGATTTTTTTGAATATTAAATGCAATGTTCAAAAATTAATGTATGAGAAGCCTGGCAACATATACAATGGAGTAATTTTTTGAAACTATTAATGTTTCATCTCTATTCCTTTTTATGGTGAATTTGGGTTTCAAGGAAGGTTTAGATTCTTTGGCTTTTGTCTTTCCAAGCTCTGCTGGGAAGCTTTTCATTGCAGAGACTAACACTTCATCTTTGTACTTAGCACTCTGAAGTTGGTCTTTTTGTTTTTGAACCTCTGCCTTTTTTTGACTTATTGATGTACAATTGTAAAGAATTCCCTTTTGTTGCAATTTTAAAGATAGTATTTTAAGAAAGAAGCCCCATTATGGGTATCAATACAATTTGAGTCAATTGGATATGTTTTAAGCAAGCTAGTGCAATTTAACTGTTGTTTGAGATTGTGAATATTTATTAGGAATCTCCTGAGCTTTTATCATTTTAGGCTTTCTCTTGCTAACTTACATTTCTGTAAGCTAAATAAATATATTCAGTCAATATTTAAGTGCATCTGTATACCACGCACTGTGCTAGGCATTGTTAATAAAATATTATGTGGTTGCCAGGTGGTAGACCTGTTTTAAGACACCGGGCATATGGCAATAAACAAAACCACAAAAATCCTTTTGGATTCTGGTGGAGGAGACTCATGATGAATACATGAAGTAGACGGTTAGAAGTACAAAAATAAAGCAGAGATGAGAGATAGGGAGTGTCAGACAGGCTGCTTGCAATTTTAAATATTTGGGTCCAGCATGGCTTCACAAGGAAGCATTTGTGTGCAGCGTGGTGAATAAGTGGGCCCTACCCTCACATCGCTTCTAGTCTAGCGATGACTGCTTCTTGATGAGTACTTACCATGAGGCTAGGGATTCTGCTAAGTGCCTGTGGACATTTTCTCCTAATCTACTAACCTGGGGAGCATTGTCCCCAGTTTCATCAGAAGGAAACGGAAGTTTTTGAGAGTCAAACTGCTCGGATGAACATAGTTAGCAGGATCCAGATCTGACCTGAAGCACATGCTCTTAAACATGGCCTTCTAGCTTGTTCACTCTTGAAATGTTTATGGAGGAGTTAGCCAACGTTGTAGATTGGGCTGCCTGATTTTTGGTTCTGTTGTGTTGGGCAGTAACTTGGTTGGCTCATGGAAAGTCGGTGTTAGCATGAGCTTCCCCTCAAGCCTGTTCTATTTAAAAGGCTTTGGGTTGGGCCCAGTGGCCACAGAAGGCAAAGAAGCCACACGGTTACTGACTTCATCCAGTGAGATGTATTTGTTATGTGTCAGAGAGTGGCCTCTATTGACTCTAGCAAATCATTTACTACTTGAATTCCTGGCACTGCATTTCAGTGATAGGATACTAATTTGGCTGGCCTGTGTATCACTGGGTTCAAGAACACATCATAAATGCTCATACTTAGAAGGGAACGTAAAGTGCGTGAAAGGTTACAGTGCCAGAGTTACTGCTTATTGTGTTTATTACAGAATAGACCGTACCTTGTATTTATAGCGATTGCTTTATCGTAATAAAAAGTAAATGGCAAAGGAGTGTGTTGGAATGTGGATGTGGAAAGGAGGTCAGGGGTTCAAGAGCACTCTTGTTCTTTTGCCCTCAGTGTGCTTACGATAACATTCCACTCAAATCATCGCACTTTCAGTGGAATGGCAATTTTCAGCAGTCTGTCCTTTGCATTGAGTATTAATGGTTCTTTTGTGCTTTGGCTAATTTAATTTCTGTGGTGTGTGTGTTGATCATTCTTCTAAAAAGAAGCTATTTTACAACCCTGTGTGTTATTTTTTATGGTCAGTTTTTAGTAATCACCCTCCATTAACTACTTCCAGAATTAAATGTTGATTTTTATAAGGTGATTTTCTTTTACTTAGGAGATAAGCTATGATTTGAGCACTTAGGCTGTACAGTTTATTCTTTTAATTTACTTTTTTGAAGTATAATATACGTATATAAAAGGAGATACATTATGTGTACAATTCAAAGACTTCAGAGACAGAACACACTTGGATAGCCAGCTTCCAGATCAAAATAAAGAGAAATATCAGTGTCCCCTCCTTTTTCTAATCCTTCCACCATCCTTCCCCACAAGGGTAACCATTCTTTTAGCATCATATCTTTGTTTTTGTACTTCCTATGAATGAAAATGACAATCTGTACTGCTTGTGTTTGACTGCTTTTTGTTCTTGTTGCTAGACTGAGTCATATGGTTACATGCAGTTGTGGATTGCTCATTCTTGTGGCCATATAATATTTCATTGTCGGTATTCCGTAATTTATCCATTCTGTTGTTAAAGACATATGTGCAGCCGCCAGATTATTCTATTATGAAAGGTGCTTCCATAATCCTTCTCATATATGACTTTTGGTGAATATACATAAGCATTTCTATTGGGTATATACCTGGGTTTGGAATTCCTGGGTTCTAGAATACACATATACTCAGCTTTTATAGTTATTACCAAATGGATTAAAAGTTAAAGTCGTTGCACCAATTTACATTTCCACAGTAGTGTGAGAACTTGTGGATTTATTTTTGTCCTCTTTTGGGGTAGGTAGGAGGTACATGTTGTTCTAAGGTCCATTTCCCTTCATGCTTGTTTTATAGAAAGGAATGGCCGTAGCTGTCCCACTGATTCTTTGAAAGTTAAGTTAAATGTTTGTGTGCTCATTCTCTCCCCTTTTTCCTTTCTGTATACAGGTCTTATATGTTAGATATGTATTTTATGTCTCTCCTATGTACACATGACATATATATACATTTTATCTGGAAAATATACGACTTACAGAATTTTAAGCTAGAAAGCCACCTTAGAGGTCACCTGGTTCTGGTTTCTCCAGTCTCTGAATTAGCAACGATCTTGCTTCAGTGTGTCTGATGACAGGAAGCACATGAGTTTAGGGTGACCCCTTGTTAAATAACTGATGGTGCTTCTTCAACACGGTGGTGACATCTGCCTCCTTTTAACTTCTCCCACAAATATCATGCCCTTTCACAGGTAAGGGGGGAAAACTCATGATTCTTGTGACAGAGTGAAATCTCTTCAGGCAGAGATTCATGGCCATTTTTAAAACTGTAGTTCTCAATATCTGCAGGACCTTGATCTCTGAGCGTTTTGCTCAGAGGAACTTGGGTGAAAAACCCGTGGATGATGGAAAAGAAAACTCCATGCAAAACTTCCCCCTGCTCTTTAAGGTTTTTGTTTTTTCTTGATTTTTGTGTCATGAAGCACACTGACCTGCCCCACTTTTGAGTGGGTTTAAACACTTTAAAATGAAAATACAAAAAATGCAAATAGTGAATTTAAAAAAATCAGACTAATAAAAAAATGAGAAAAAGAGACTTGCTTTTTATAGAAAATGGACCATTCTATTTCATGAAATCATTGAATATGGAAAAATTCTGATGGATAATATGCAGTCTGAGGTTTTTGAATGTCCAGGTGGTATTAATATTCATAGAACGTTAGAATAGAAATGAGATTTTTCTACTTAATAATTTAAGGCTCATAGATATTACTTAATAGGCATTTTTTTTTTCTTTACAGGCAAGAAGAGACTGATAGGAGAGTGAAAAATGTAAGCTATATTTAAGGGAACATTATTAATGGGTTTTTACTTACATGTTCTGTAATAAGGCAGTGGGATCTAAAAATACCTGATATACTGTGAATCCTTTTTCTAATGGAATTATTGTCAGTAGCCAACCATTCAGGGGCTCAAAGTATGTTTAAATAAGGTTAAACTATATTTTCTCTGATGTCAGGGTATAAGAGGGGAGGTGAAATCTGCGGGGGGGGGGGGGGGCTTCTTATACGTAAGGTGGGAAAGGCAAGTGAACATGCTTCAAGTCCTTTAGAAGAGTACATCAAACCACCAGATCAGACTTTAAAGAAAAACACTGTTTAAGAACGCTGGGTAATTGCTCAATGCAGACTTACATGCCTAACATTCTGCACGTTAGAAGAATTTCTAAAAGTGGGACAGCTTTATTTGAAAGAAAAATACAAGAGAACCCTATTAAGGAAGCTGAGAATTACTGATTTTAAGGGTTCAGTCTGTACGTTTGTTGGAAAAATTGATTGCTTTAAAAGTTTAATTTGCTTTCTTCATAAATGTTTTCCTTTACATGTACCAGCAGAGTATCCAAATCCCTGTTGGGATCTGAGCTTTTGGTGTGAGAATGTGCTCAGAGACAGAAATCTAAGAATAATTAACATTTTTAATGACCCATCTCCTTCACATAATGTAAAAGAAACTCCACTTTTCAACTTAGATAGATATGTTCTCTTCTGTCTAGAGTGCTCACCTGCATTCGGACTTGCAGTTAGTTACTAAATAGACTGATGTTGTTTTTGTGGATTTTTTTCAAGGTTTTGATAACACTGTACTGGTTGGGAAGAAAAGCACAAAGTAACCCATACTATAATGGACCCTATCTTAATTTGAAAGCCTTTGAGAATCTTTTAGGACAAGCTCTGACTAAGGTAAGGAAACCACATCTGGATGAGATGATTACTGTTCCTAACACTACCACTTTCTCCTCCTTTTCCCCACCTCCCTGTATTCCTTTCCTTCCACTTCTCCTCTTCCTTCTTCCCCTCTTCCAACAAATATGGCAGTTCCTATTACCTTTGCTTCACTCTAGATTGTGCTGGGTAGAAAGGGTTGTTATTTATTTGCTGGCTTTATATGCCCCCAACCAAGGAGTGAGTGAGTCTAGGTATTTATTTCTTAATTTTAAGTAATTCAATGACCTACTCATTTGCTTCCTTTCTAAGGCACTTGATATAACTTAACTCTTTCTATAGTAGAAACTCAACCTGTAGTAGAGAGTGCTTTGGACTATTACTGTTTGTGGAAGTTACTCAGTTTCTCTGTCTTAATATCCTGTCATGGGTCGTTATCTCTTTAATGCCCATACTCCAATTTCCCCATGATTCTGCCATATTGCTTCTTCTTCCTAGAGTGCAGTAAATGCTGTTACATGAAACGTGCTAAGGGGTTTAAATTAGAATCTTTTGTTTCAGACACATTTCTAGTCCTTTATATCTTGGAGTCTATGTTGCAGCTTTTGAATGCTTAATGATTGTTTGAGGAGAGTCCAGTGCCAGGGCTGACCATAGTTGTATCAGATTTTCATTTATAAGATCCAAATGGGAAAATTAACTTTTTTTAGGGGGATATTTACCCAGGGGAATTTGCAGTGCTCAGAAGAAAATAGGTAGCTAAAATAATATGCTATCATCTAATTAATTGTAGTTGCTCCATGGATTTTTATGATGATTAAATGACACTGAGAAGGTATTTAACATTAGTCTCTGGCATATTGTAAGGATGTAATAAATGTTAGTTACCATGATTGGAAGATAGAAATTTTAGGTTAGGATGAAAATGAGCACCTTGCCTCACATCTGCTCTGATCTTCAAATACTTTTGCCTGAGCCCAGCCACATACATCATAGAAAGATGAGATTATAGAGCTTAGAAGGTTAAGGTATTCCTTCTTGATTTTTATTGTTTTTGAATTGTAGAGAGTTGATGGTACTTCACTCAAATTTCTTGAAAGACTTAATTCAGGTTATAGAGTTATCCCGCACAAGCGTTGTTCTAGATGTTGGGAGAACACTCACAAAAGGCCCATCCTCCTAGAGCACCACTGTCTGATGGAGACCGATGAACAGATTGGTCACTGCAGTGGGAGAGGATAAGGCTGTGACAGATGAATGGGCAGGTGGCTTGGGACATGAGCAGAACCTCGCCTTACAGTTATGTCAGCTAAGAAAACTTCTAGTTAAAAATAAGATGGGACTTTGGCTCCTGTATTAGTGCTCTCTTACAGCTTTTGGTTCTTTTTATGGCAGTCTGACTCAAGTTGAATAATCCTAGTACAGTGTTTGTGCTGGGGAATGCTTTATTCAAAGCTGTTTCCTGTCCTCAGCGTCAAAAGCAGAGTAGGTAAAACATTTTGATAGATAAAACTACAGCTGTTTCCATTCCATTATTATGGAACGGGGATGGCTGTAAGAAGGGTGTAAATGTGTATGATCACTGTTTTGCATCTGTTCTATTAACAGTCACTGTGTTCAAGTGTTTCACACTGATATAGATAATACTTAATGGCCAATCCAAAGTGTCGACTAAAAAACACACTTGGTAAGCTGTTGTACCTGAGTCATCATATGAACTGGAGGTGACTCATTTTAGGTGACCAGTCAGAGGGCTCCTCATAAAAACCAGGTACCAGGGCCAGACTCGGGTTCTTTTATCACTGGAGTGGCCCAACATCAATAACTTGAACATTTTATGAGGTCAAAAATCATCTCACTCTGTGTCAAGGACTCTGAGCTTCAACAAGTACGTATCTAAGAAAACTGATGGATCTAAAGGTTTACTTAAAATTTCTAAAATCTTTCTCTATTTTGAGAAGTATTTTGGCAGTATCAGCACTAGGCCCAGCTTCCCCATCTCCTTGGAAACGAGGTACAAGGTGTAGATGCTTACGTTTTCACAGCAGGATGTCAACTCTAACATCGGGGTGTCTGGCATCTGATGTATATGAAATCTCACATAAATTCACTAGATCTTATGGGTGCTTCATATATTGGTCAGAGGGTTGAACCAAGAATCGACAGATCCAGTCTCAGCCAAAAGCATGCCCAGGACAGTTGTTAATTTGCTTTTTGCACATTCTTTTTTCAACTTTATCCATATGTTGAAAATGTTCATAATTGAAAATTGAAAGAATCATACAACAAATACCCAGATATGTGCCACCTGACTCAATTATTAAAATCTTCCCATACTGGCTTTACATGTCTATCCATTCATCTGTTTTTACTTAATCATTTCAAGGTAAATTACAGATCTCTCACCTCTAAAAGCTCAGCATGCATCTCTTAGGAGTAAAAATATTCTTCGATATAGCTACAATGTCTATTATACTGAAGGAAATTAATAAATGTTCCCTACCCCCAAATAACAAGTCTGTGTTCAAAATTTCCCACCTGTCTCCCAGCTTTCTTTAATGGCTTATTTCATCTGAATTCTGATTTAATCGAGATTCACATATTACATCTGGGTGTTAGGAGTTCCTACATTCTTCAAACTGTCTCTGTAGTTTGCTCATCTGCAGCTAGAATTTCTGATTTGTACACTAATGACAAAATCACCTTCACTGTAGGAAAAAGTCACTAGGTATTCTTTGATTACTATATATTGGGACTATGCTAAGGACTTTATAATTTTATTGATACTCATTGTAAAAAGTCCAGTTTTATTTTGCTATTAACATTTTCATAGAGAAATGTTATTCAAAATAATGCTTATATATATATACATATATATGTATATCTATCTATCTATCTATCTATCTATATTTTTTAAGATTTTACTTTTAAATAATCTCTGCACCCAACATGGGGCTCGAACTCACAACCCTAAAATCAAGAGTCACATACTCTGCTGACTGAGGCAGCCAGGCACCCCCAAAATTATGCTATTAAATTAAGTTCTATATAATTTACAAACCTATGGCTAATCACGTTTGTCATCTGTTTATGTATCTCTTACATGAGCCAAACAAATACTTATTTAGATTCAGGGAAATTAAATTTTGAATGCCCACGAGCAAGTCTGCTTTTCTTGGCAGATCTAGGTTTTTCATAATCAATGAAAATGAGTGAATTCTGTGGTGTATACCTGCTGCCCTTGCCCTTCTTTCTGTTTTTAAAAGTTTTTTGTTAAGAATCCATAACACTTACAGTGACTTTATTATAAACCCTCCAAATATTTCCTGGAGGTAGGCTGACTATAATCTTATTAACTTATCTCCTTTTGGATATCGAAATTAAGGTTGGCTTTTTGCTTTGACTCCTTTCATGTTTATTGCCAGATAACTGTAAGTAATCATTGATTTTAGCACTTGAATGTATTATTAGCTTTTCTTCTATTAAAATGTTCCCCCATTATTTTTAAATAAACTGTATACTCTTTTATTAAATAATATTGAATACCTCGTTTTTTAAAAAATACCTCCTTATTGTTACATAGGTGCAAAGTATTGTGGGAAAACATTTACAGATTTATACTCTGATTTTTGCCAGATTCTCTTTTTACGTTACACAGAGAAATCTCATTGCCTCGCCTATCACATATAGCACAACTTGAGCTCTGTGTTAAACAAGTAATGACTGATTATATTTTTGGAAGTTTATGGTAACTTCTTAAAAACTTTTCCTTTAGGCTCTTGAAGACTCCAGCTGTCTGAAAAGGAGTGGCAGGGACAGTGGTTACGGTGATCTCTGGTGTACTGAACGTGGAGAATTTCCTACTTCTTCGGGCAACCACAAGCGAGAAGATTCCTTCGAAAGCTTGGACTCTTTGGGGTCTAGGTCATTGACAAGCTGCTGCTGCGATAATATTTTGAGAGGCGGACGTGAGGGTGAGTTGCATTTTTGACTGTCAGTTTATTTTTTATTTATTTGTATGTTAAGAGAAAGTTGGGAATGGTGGGAGAAAAATGGAGCAAAAACTATTGGGGCAAAAATTTTACAAAGATGTGGATTTTTCATAGAGACTAGAATATTGGGGGTTTCTTTTCCCTTTCTCTTTTTCTTTTCCTTTTTCTTTCTCATTCCTTCCTCACTGTATCACCACTAGAATGGTAATAGTTTCACTTTTTTTTTTATCCTTCCATGTTTAGAGGAGAGCAGGGAGACCATTAACTGTGACCTGTTCAATCAGTGATAATCTATCCTAATTCTCTTCTCTCCAGATTCAAATTTAATAATCTGTGCTCTGAGGCCTATTCACTGATATATCTACACATAAAAAAGAAAGATTCTATAAAAGTCTGTTCTAGTTCCTGAATAATCTTCTTCCCAAAAGATAAAAAATTTCTCTTAAGGAAAAGCAAGAAAAATATTTCTATAATTCTCTCCCCAAAAATGATTGATACCTATCATGATAGAATATTAGGCTAAACTTTGATAATTCAAATAGCCATACCAGCATGGTGTTAGAAAACCTCTTTTGCTTCTATTAGTCCAGAGCAAATCCAGGACAGAGTGAGGAAAGAACAGGTAAATGAAAGTTACCCTGTTATGAGAGGACCCTTCTTTCAAAATCCTAATATTATGGTCAAATCGGTTATTTAAATGCATGTCTTCTTCCAATGGCTATTGGGTGATGTCAGAAATTTCTGACTATATACTTCTAACAATTCCAATTTGGATAGACTGAAACCACCAGTAAATTTCTGTGCTTCTACCATCAACATGAAAACATTGAGAGTTCTGGTCATGAATTTGTGCTAGATTGTTAGGGATTTTACTTTGCTGGTTATATGGATAATTACTTTTAAATTTTTACTAGTTTTTCTTAAGGTTCTTATTATAAAACGTTTAAAACCTCAGCAAAATTGAAAGAAATTTACAGTGAAGACCCATGTTTCCACCACCTAGTTCTACCATGACGTTGTACTGTGCTTGCTTTTTGACATATTTACCCCTTTCTCTATACATTAATTTTACATCTTGTTTTTCCGAGCTATCTCAGAGTACGTTACACTTGTCCTAAATACTCAGCATACGGTGATCAACAGTCTGGATTGTTGTCCTGATGCAAATTTACATAAAAGCAATGTACAATGGATTTGGTTTTGAGAAAGAAAGTTAATCAACAAATTAAGTATAACCAACCCCCAAATTCTTAGGTTTTTGAGTAGTAGTGACATTTGAAATAAAAAAGAAAAGTGAATAGCTATCTAAGAGTTAACCTTTTATATTTACTGCTGCATTTGTTGGTTGTCTGCTCTCGAGTGTGACATTTTCATAGCCCAGATGACCAGTACAGATTCAAGGAAATAAATCTGAGTTTATAATTCATCTGAGTGATTAAAGCTGTAAAAGCAGAGGCTGAAATTCCCAATGCACTATATTGGTTTGTCCTGACTGGATAACCTAAAACATGCAATGTTTAAATTTATATCCAGCCAACAGAGAATAACAGGGACAAAGACTGAAGGCTTGTGGAAATAGGCAGACTTCCGGCGCTTCCCGTATGGTGGCCCGTGGTGTGAAATGAAAGTCCTCTCCTTAGATACTTGCTGGAGTGGATGCCTGGTACATGTGACAGAAAGCAGAAGGCCACTGTCACATATCTGCTTCCCGATAGTGGGGAAGGAGCTGCAGAGCTTGTTTGAAGAGGGCGGAAGTGAAGACTTAGTCCTTACGACTGAGGAAGAGAAGAAAAGCCCACGGGCTGTCCAGATGATCAAACTTTTGTAATCAGTGTGATGAAATTCTGCTACCTACTGGGTTGTAATTCCAAACTGATCACCACCGTTAGGATAATATTTTTAGGTTAACAGCATTGCAAAGTCAAGTTCCTTGGTTTTATATAAAACCCCTGACCCTATCAAGAGTATCTGCCTACTCTGTAGAGAACTCCACTGGACTCAAAAATAAAAATAATTTAAGTTTAAAAAATTCCAAAGTAGAACAATCTCCCTGTGTGTTTAAAATTTCACAGGTACACATTTTGGCAAGAATCTTTAAGACCTTTCTTATTTGCAAAAAAAAAAAGTCATATTTAAGAGGTGGTAAAAATGAAGCACCAGATTATTGACTATTAACCCTCCTGGTCATAGCGGCCACTTCCTCCCTTTCTGCCTTTTCTCCCTTATCCTGTTCCAGTCTCCTGGTCTCACAGGGGTGTGTTCAAATGCTTCCTGTAGGCTGTTCTCAGTGTTACTGACTGTGGACTTCTGGCGAGCAGGAGGGAGGAGACCAGACCGCCTCCAGTGCAGGTTAACCCTGCAGGTGTTCTGGGTGCCGAAGGCTGCTGCTCAGGTCCTCAGGTACAGAGCACGGCCATGCTCCCAGAGAGTGCAGGTGGGAAGCTAGCAACACTTGCAAACTTTCTTTACAGATACACAGAGGTAGGAAGAAAAGAAGGTCAGAGAAGGGAGACAGCTCAGCTTGGATCTGTAGTAGTATTTTGTAGTCTCTTTTCTTCCTGTGTCTTTAAAAAGAGCAGACTTATTATTTTATGAAAACAGATCAGTATTTGTTTTTTTTTTTTAAATGTTTTATTTATTTATTCATGAGAGTCAGAGAGAGAGAGAGAGGCAGAGGCAGAGGGAGAAGCAGGCTCCCCACCTAGCAGGGAGCCCGATGCGGGACTCGATCCAGGATCCTGGGATCATGACCTGAGCTGAAGGCAGACACTTAACCATCTGAGCCACCCAGGTGCCCCAACAGATCAGTATTTGTATCTATCTGACCTTGAGGTGTATCAAAGTGCATTCTTTTGAATTTGTATTTGAATGATTTGGGATCAAACACAAGGTTCCCAGTATTTCCACGGCCACCCTCAGAAAAAGCCTTGAGTTGTGTGTGTTCATTTAGGAATGAGAATTGATATTCTTTTGGACCAAATGATTTCTGAAGTCCCAACCTCCTCTCTGATGTGTGACTCTTGCTTGTAGGGCTCTCCCAAGGATCTGGCCAACCCGTTTGTGATATTGTACTTTCTGCTACTCTTTCCATGTTCTCCCTTATCTCTTGCCTCACAGAAATTTGAGACAACGGCGTGCTTTATTTTAAATTACAGACTTTCCCTTGAGTGACTCTTTGATTGCTCACTCTTTTTGGTGTCTTTGACTCGATCGCTGCATTTTACTCATATGTGTTCCATCAGTGCATTTTATGTAAAGTCACAGGGGCAAGAAAGATTGGGAAGAAAAGGAATTCAGTGGTTAATGTGGACTTTATTTGCTTAGAATGTACAACAGTAAAAGAATGTAGCGCATGCGCCTCCAGTATGCAAAGCAAGTTCCTCCTAATGGATCTTATCACAACTTCATGACAAATTTCTAAAAATATTCCCCAGAGTTAGCAGAAGAGCCCTGGGTTTCCAAGGGAAAGACAAAGCAGGCATGCTGTGTGGGTTCAGTTAGACAAATGATCTGGAGAGTAAAGCAAATTCTCTTGCTTTTTTTATAGGTTGTGAAAGTGACACAGATTCTGAATTTACATCCAAAATGCAGGATTATAATAAAGATGATATGTCCTATCGAAGGATTTCGGCCATTGAACCAAAATCTGCTTTACCGTTCAATCGTTTTTTGCCCAATAAAAGTAGACAGCCATCCTATGTGCCGGCGCCATTGCGGAAGAAAAAGCCTGACAAAAATGAGGATAACAGAAGAAGTTGGGCCAGCCCGGTCTATCCAGAAGCAGATGGAACATTTCCAAGGTACTGGGATGCGAGCTGATGATGAGTTTTAAAATTCAGTATGCTTTGTGAATTTGCTGGGATTTTAAATATGGGAAAAGGAATGGTTCTTAAAATGTATTTCATAGATAATAAATTTCACTAATGAAAATATGTATTTTTTTTTTACCTATATCTTTAGTCATGCATATCCTGACGATATTTCTTCCATTTTAGAGGTCAGCCTAGGATATGCCGGTTCTTTTTTTAGATGCATGCCTTTTGCCTATTGACATCTTTCAGCTTATTGGATGACTTCTGTTGTTCATTGTGGAGCTGTTATTTTCTTCCATTTTTTTTTCCCCCTGTCTTGAGTGATCTCAGTGGACACACAGAGAATCCTATAATTTCACATCAAATTAGCAGAGCAGAGTGGGATTTGTCAAATTCAGCTTGCTGTCAGAAGGAGGTGTATGGTTCTGAAAGTGGTTCGGACTCCGAGGATGAACGAAGGTTGCCTGATATAGTTTTGGATGACTTAGCCAACCGTAGATTCCAAGTGAAAAAGAGGCCCGAGTGTTTCATCTCGAAAACCACCTCTCGTAGCTCTTGCTCACAAAGGTTTCCTCCTGCTGACCCATTAGCCACTGGGCTGTATGAATTGACGAGGTCAGAAAAATTCTCCTAGATCAGAATGTCTGTGATGTTGATTTTAATACTTAACACCCCAGATTGTTTGCAGTTTGTCTCTTTTTAACACATCCTATAATTACCTTTGGCCCTTGTGTATCAAGCTATTCTCTAATTAAAATGAGATGCTGTTATAATGCCTTAACTTTGTTCTAGGAACTATAATGATGAGAGTGGCAACTAATTTGTCTCATCCAGTGGTATAAACTCTGTGAGCCAGAGAGCATGCCTTTTTGTTCTGTGTCACAAATTGTCATTCAGTATCTTAACCGGTTGGATGTTTTGAACAGTAACGAGAGGAGGACTTGGGGCACAAATGTGGAGAACTGGCCAAGAGTACAAGAAACTTCAAACTCCTCTTGTTACTTGGAAGAGGAAGAAGAAAAGACAAGTATGCCCAACACTGTAAAGGATGATCTATACGTGCGAAAGCTAAGTCCAATCATGCCAAACCCAGGGAATGCTTTTGATCAGTTTCTTCCCAAATGTTGGATCCCAGAAGACGTGAACTGGAAAAGAATAAAAAGGGAAACTTACAAACCATGGTATAAAGAATTTCAGGGATTCAGGTTTGTCTCTGTGCATGTTTCTGTTGTCCCAGTGTTCATTCGGCACTCTGGCTAGGTGCATTCCATGTGTGCTTCTTATGAGAGAGAAAGAGAAATTTTCTCTTCAATACCTATAGAACCTCTATAACTGCAAAAAATAATGCTGCTTAAATTTAAACCTTAGGATCTGGATCTTAGGAAGCATTCTGCATGACAGAATTTTCACTGGTTGTAGTTTTCTCCAACTTTCTCCTTCCCTCCCTCCTTTCTCTGCATTGCTCTACAGTAGGAGGACTTCAGATTCAGAGGATGAGGATTTGAGCTCTGACAGAAGCTCCTCCATTTTTAGTAGAATCCAAAAAGCAAAGCATAGGCTAGACAGCAACTGCCAAAGACGTTCACTCCTGCTGGAATTGGCTCCCAAAGGGGCCAGGAACTCCCGGGACACGCAAGCAGCCAGGAGAAGCCGCGGTGCCGCGGATGAGCCCAGGTGTACCTGTGTGCATGAGCCTGCCTGCTTTGAGTCTGGCCGGGGACACTCGGGCCAGCGGCTGCTGCTCTGTTAATCTCTGACCATGATGCGCTGGATCTTGAAACCTCGTTCATAATATTTAGCGCAAAAGCTTCTACTGTATAATGTATTGCTTTCTGTGGGAGCAGATAAGCTTGGAAGTTTATAAAATTAAAAATTTTCAGTGCAGTGATGTACAAGATAGTACACAGTTACATGGGGGCAGAGTCAGGTCTTTGGGAAAACTATTTCTAAAAAGCTTTTGCAAAAGTTGACCTTAATTTAGGGTTGTGTTCTGTGTGGAGATGTGGAGAAAGGAAATAACTTTTATTTATTTATTTTTTAAGATTTTATTTGTTTATTTGACAGAAAGAGACACAGTGAGAGAGGGAACACAAGCAGGGGGAGTGGGAGAGGGAGAAGCAGGCTCCCCGCCGAGCAGGGAGCCCGATGCGGGGCTCGATCCCAGGACCCTGGGAGACCTGAGCCGAAGGCAGGCGCTTAACGACTGAGCCACTCAGATGCCCAGGAAATAACTTTTAGATAAACACCAGGGCATGCAAGTCCGGTGGGAAAAGGCAAAGAAAAGATTCATCAGGGTCTTTTTGAAAGCTTCACAGCATTTTATTTTATTTTTTTAAATTCTGCTGACTACCTGATTGCATAAAGTGCTTGATGACCAACTCTCCAATCTCTGCAAGATCATTGCTGCTTCTCTGGGATGGGGACTACATCACCATGGCTAACAGAATAAGGAAAGGGTGAAAGCAAGTGTGTGTACGACAGGGAGGGAGGTGTGCTCTGTCTACGTTCTAGCCTCATCAGTTGGCCTGGATGGTGCCCACCTTTCTTGAGAAGTACATTCTGCCTTTGCTTCTTTAAATGGTATCCAAGAAGGTCACGGGTGATGACATTAAAGGCTAGGCTTTCTTCCAAGCAAGAATCTCTCCCATGGTTCCCTAAAATAATTCACCCATGGTAACGGGCTAGTTGATCTGCTGCCCAATTACCTTTTCTACCTAAACTTAATAAGATTCTCCCTTCCTTTTTCTTTTCTGTGCTTCAGTCAGTTTTTATTACTTCAGGCACTCCAAACATACTCTGATGACATCTTGTCTTCTGAAACAAATATCAGAATTGATCCCACTGCCGGCCCAAGGCTCATAACACGCAGAAAGAATGTCTCTTCTGCACCAGGGTGTAAAAGAGATGACCTTGAGATGTCAACCCTAGATCCTGACTTAGAAAATGATGATTTCTTTGTCAGAAAGACTGGGGCTTTCCATGCAAATCCATATGTTCTCCGGGCTTTCGAAGACTTTAGAAGGTTTTCTGAGCAAGATGATCCTGTAGAGCGAGATATAATTCTGCAGTGTAGAGAAGGTGAACTTGTACTTCCAGATCTAGAAAAAGATGATATGATTGTTCGCCGAATTCCAGCGCCGAAGAAAGAGGTGCCTCTCTCAGGGGCCCCGGATAGATACCAACCAGTCCCTTTCCCTGAACCCTGGACTCTTCCTCCAGAAATTCAAGCAAAATTTCTCTGTGTACTTGAAAGGACACGCCCACCCAAAGAAAAAAGAAAAAGCTGTAGAGTATTAGTGCCTTCCTACAGGCAGAAGAAAGATGACATGTTGACTCGCAAGATCCAGTCTTGGCAGCTGGGGACGACTGTGCCTCCTGTCAGTTTCACCCCTGGTCCCTGCAGTGAGGCGGACCTCCGGAAGTGGGAGGCCATCCGGGAGGCCAGCAGACTTAGGCACAAGAAACGGCTGATGGTCGAGAGGTCAGAGTGTGTTTCTGCAAGGATTTTGCTTGTCATGGATGGTCTTATATAACTTTTCTTGTGTGAGAAAGTGGCATTGTATCGCCCAGCTCTGCATGTCATGAGCCATTTTGAAGCATCCTGTAAAAATGTATATTGTTGTGAGAAGCCTGTTGTGATTTCTTGGAAAAAAGTGCAATTCCATATTTGCACGTCTCTAAACTATTTGAGGCCTGTTTAAAAAGGTGTAGACACAAACCTTGCCTTTGGCCTCAAGGAAGACTATGGTACTATCTGCAACATGACGTTTCATGAAAATGTTTTCCAGTTACGTTTATAGACTATATATTCTCATGTCCAGGCTTTTCTGAACCAGTCTGGTTGTAGTTTGGTTTTCTGCGTTTCCCATATTTTGGAGTATAGGATTTATGTGTAAACATTTCCCTTAAAATATGGCATTGCAAATTTCATTTAACTTAATTATGATTTTTGTTTTTGACCTAGGTTTCCTAGACTATCAATATGTGACTTTTTAAATTTGTAGTTTAAAATTCAGTGCAAACTTTATTAAAATGCATGAATGTTATTTGCTGTCAGCTAAATTTTACTTGTATGAAATTATGGCCATTTTGATAATAATGTGTCTGCATTTATGTGTTATGCAACTTGCCATTTTGATGTTCAGCTTGTTAAACTTTGGGATGGACAAATACAAGGCTGATTGAAATCAGTAGATCCAAATCTAACTTTTATTCCCGGCAACAGGAAGCTTTTCGTTATGGATTTGTTGGTTCAAGGTAAATTAGGAAACTCTTTATCTCACTTAATTTGATTCCTTGAGATATGAGATCAATTAGAAATTGAGACATTATCAAGAATGTGATAAAACCTTTTGAGATTTGTCCATCTCTAGTTAGAATCTTAAAGATATTGAACATTTAGAAAGTAACACAACTGAAAAGTGACTTTTAATTTTTGGTTTTCTGATTTCTTAGACTCTTTCAAAAGATTTATGGTGAGAATGGGTAAGTTTTTTAGTTCACAGTGGAGAAAAATCTCTGCATATTGTTTGTCCTTCGTGTAATATGTCACTGCACTTCTATCCTGGCATGTCACTAAATGGGGATGCTGTGTGCTGTGCATGTAATTTTTAAAAATGGGAAATTTTTTCTTAATTTTGCAACCTAATGGTAATATTTCTGTTTCCGAGTGTGCAGTGCATGAAGTGCTATATGACTGCAGTAGATTTTGTTTTTACTAGAAGTTTAAAATTCAGGTCTTTTTTTCCCCCCTTTTCTTTTTTCTTTTTTTTAACTTAAGGAGTTGATTAAAAGTAACACAATTACTTGCCTAAGATTAGGTATATTTAATTTAGCATTTGATTGCTACATAGACTAACATTTTCACTTCTGGATGTTGAAGCCCAAATAAAGTTATTTTAGAAAATTTTAGAAAATCTATGATGGAAAAGGAATACTAACATTCACTTCGAAGTTGGAATTCATACAGTTGGTATTATCTATTTACTCCTAGTTTATGGGGAGCTTGCTTTATTTATTTATTTATTTATTTATTTATTTATTTATTTATTTATTTTAAAGATTTTATTTATTTATTTGACAGAGAGAGAGAAAGAGACAGCGAGAGCAGGAACACAAGCAGGGGGAGTGGGAGAAGGAGAAGCAGGCTTCCCGCTGAGCAGGGAGCCCGATGCGGGGCTCAATCCCAGGACCCTGAGATCATGACCTGAACCAAAGGCAGACGCTCCACCGACTGAGCCACCCAGGCGTCCCTATGGGGAGCTTTTATTAGTTGGGATGAGGGATGACATTAGTCTTCCCTTAGTAGAATTTGGAAACATTTTCATGATTCCTGATTAGGGTAAAAAGTTATAGTATGGCTATGTCACAAAGCCAAAATCAGCTTCCCCAAACTGCAAAAATTAAAATCTTTTAAAATTTTCTGGAAATGTTTCCCATTTCTAGAGTAATGGAGAGTTAAAAGCAAATGCTACCATACTTTTACTTTTTACTGCACACTGTAGAATCATTCATTCTTAGTGCAGAATAACCAGGTGGCTACATCTTAGTATTTACCATCAGACTTTCTATGACTTTGTGAATCTAACTTCTAATAGTTTTTGAACAAGAAGAAAATTTAAGTATGTCAAATATTTTAATCTGCCTAAGCCTTAGTAACTACGGATCTTCCCCCACTGGGATTTATGTCATCTCTAAGAATTTTTAGTTGTGATAGCATTGGATAATTTTTAAAGTGTAGAAACCTTGGAACTTACTAAAATTATTATTTGAAGCAATATAACCATTCTAGGTGTCAAAATGGTAACTGAGTCAAGGGCAACTAATTGCAAGTACTTCTCAGCCACTGATTTAAAAAATCAGACTACCAGCATGCTTTCAGTGTGCTGTGCAAAGACACATTATTCCCTATCCAGCTCCTCGAGGGCTTAAAGCTTTCCTCATTTGTGAGGGTGATTGAGGCACTTGTCAGCATGACGCTTAAGCATCTGCTCATCTCAGTTCATCACGGGAAAGCTAATTTAATGGATGAAAAATCTCTGCTGCTTTGAGCATTTTGAATGAAAACTTTCAGAATTTTCATCGCTAATAAGGCTTGATAATAGAAGCAGTCTGTTTTTCTTAAAGAGGATACAGGTACATGGAGTACAGGTACTGGATGAGAATGTGAACACATACAGCTATTTCAGTGACTCCCTGTGTTTCTCTGTAGGGATGCCCTGTATGACTGGGCTAAGAAGAGAGAAGAGAAACCCAAATGCCAAGTTCAGAAAGCGAGGGATTTTTCTGGCTCTAGCTAGCAGCAGCAAGTACCTTCTGTAGACTATTTCCAGACTGTTGCTTGCGTGGTATGCTGTTTGTTTTAAAGTTTGTCCCCCTTGCAGTGTAGTGCCTAGGTAACACAAATAAAGCAAGGTTATCTGTAAAATGAGACTGATGAATAATGCATGACTTGTCAGATAAAGGAAAGTAAAGCAAATATGTCTTCAGAAAACTAAAGTGTGTTTCATACCACTTGTCATCAAAACCTTTTATATGGGATTTTTTTTCTGTGTTCTGTCAGTTACCAATGGTTTTCTTAAACTGCTTTGCTGCAATGAAAACAAAAAATTGGATTGAGTATAGGCATTTCATCTAGAACTTATTTCCTGTTTCTAGACATGTTCATATGACAGGAAACAAGTGATGTTTCTTAATGATATTTCTTGGACATAATGTCCATTTTTAAACTTAGAATACTTACCTGGAAAATCTTTATTGCTAACATCCTGTGATTGAAAAATGACTGCCTATAACATGAATGCTTTCCTTTTGGTTAAGGACCAGGTGAAAGAGAAATGCACATTACCTCTTTTAAAGACTTAGCTTGTTCATTTTGGGCTTGCTTTTTGTTGGCATTTAACATCTGTCACTCTGTTTATTTTTAATATGCTTTCTATGTGGCATTTTGTCACGCGTGCTTTTGTGTTGCATGGATTTGTCTGTATGGTTCTATGACATTTGAAAATATGGTTATGATGCTTCTCGGCAGAAGCTGTGAATGGCAAAGTTGTTGTAAGGGTATGTAGATATAATTTGTAATAGGACTAAGCCATTTAGTCTACTGCCAGGATAAACAGGAAATGAAAACTGATTGAAGGTGAAATTTTAATCAAAGACAACTAAGAGATGTACATTTCGTGTATGGGTTATGGCCAAAAGATTCTGTAGAACTGTAAGGACACCTAAGACAACAAAGAGGAAGGGCAAATAAAGTGGATGTGAGTGTCTGGGGATTTTGTCCCTAGGGAACATTCAGCAATGTCCGTAGGCATTTCTGATTATTACACTGGATGGGTTGGGGATGGGGGTTTTCTACTAGCCATCTGGTGCTTTTATATCCTGGGATGCTGCTAAATTGTCCTGCGAGACACAAGACAGCCTCCTACAATAAATAAATAATTTTATAGCCCCAAAATATCAATAGTGCTGCTATAGGGAAAACCCAATTTAGACTGTAAACCTATAAATGAAAAGTTTCTTATTTTACATTATCATCCTAGTTTGTAGTCACTCTAAAGCCTATTATCCAGGTTTTAGTACTGATTGTGCTTCAGAGAATTCCTACAGCACCTAACAGAAATATACTCAAAAGTGCATAAATGAGTATATCCCTATCTTCCTTTGAAAGTTCGGGACTCCGGGAACCCCAGAATTAGTATCATGGAATTTCTACCTGCTGTTTAAGGCAATCAGTGATTCTGTATTTAGGGCATTTTCTACATGTTGGTCCTTTCTGATCCCTTACTTCTTAGATATTACTTCTTAGACTCTCTCTAGTCTGTGAGGTAGACAGGTAGGTATTTAGATGCATTATAGATACATGAAGAAAGAGACACAGATAGTGCAGCATTCCCAAGGACATACAGCTAGTGAGTGGTAGAACCGGACGAGCGCATCTTTTAATGAGCTAATCCAGGTAGACCAGTTGGCAGTGTGGCTGGCACATAGTAAGCCCTCAGGAGTTTAATGTTATGCCGGTAATTCTGATAAGGAAGGAAAGAATTCTTCATAATCTGGCTGAAAGACTTCTGTACTCAGAAAGTTCTAGATTTTATCAGTGTGGCCTAGGGTGACCTCGCTAATCTGAAGCTGTTTTGGGAGTTCCTTTTCAAGAAATTCCATGCAGTCATGTTTTCCTTCATAAGAATAGTTGGTGTAAAGCACCAATAGTTATTAAAATACAATCGGTATAACCTTCCGCCTTTTCTTATGACAACACTTTCCTTGCTTAGAAGATGAGGACCTGAGGCACAGAGAAGCTAAGTGATGTTAGGTTGGGGTGCAAATCAGTGGCATGGCCACCCCAGTGCTCAGTTCAGCTTGCATGGAATGTGCTCAGGCTTTCTCTAGGTAACTGTGCACCCTCAGGAACATAGGGAACTCCCATTCCTGCCTGAAACAGGGATTAGTCTGTTCTGGACAGTGTTGGGCTCCCTTGGTTCACAGGTAGGAGGTTCACTCCTGCTGGGTGCCAGGCTCTGTGCTCTTTTTTAGGGAGTCTGTTAAAGTCTGAGCACAAAAAAAGTCTTATTCTTTGAAGTTATAGCTTAATTTATATCTTCAAATTCACATAAATCAGGTTCATATATAGTCATACCTAGTTAGGTATATATGTTTAACGATCCAGTGTATAATTTGATATATATTCCATGTGTAATTCCTTAATACTCTTTAATAAATCTTACAGAGCTTGCCTTATAAAACTTTGGGGAGGGATCCTGATTTATTATACACCCAGAAAAAGAGACATTTCAAATTTATTTTGCTTGATTAAGTATGATAAAACATACCTCATTCTTGCCACAGGTGTTAAATGCATGTATCCTGTATGCTTTGTTATGTGTTAATGTGTTTTTCTCCAAACAACATGTGGACTTGTGAGGGAGATAAACTAAGCATGCACACACACACACACACACACACAGGAGAAAGGTATAACTAAAGCAGTAGAGGGGTGGAGAGAAAGGCCAGACCACTTTTGGTGTGGAAGAGGTAGGAATTATTATCAAAGTGGTAGAATATTCTCTAGATCAACACATTTATTAGCACCTACCATGGGCTGGGCACTCTTCTAGGCATAGGTGATATAGGAGCAGACAGAAAAAAATCCCTGCTTTGTAATCTTGCAGGATGAGGCAGGTGAGGTGTACATAAACATTTCAAATGGCAATAGATGCTATGGGGAGAAATGCTATGGGGAGAAAGGTGAGGGATAATGTGGCCAAGGGAGAGGTGCATTTACTCTTTTGTGTAGGGTGGTCGGGGTGGGAAACACTGAGGTAATGTTCAAGCAGATGACTGGAAGTGAGAGATAAGCCATATGGTTGGTTGAAGAGGCAGTAGAAGAGCAGGAGGTTGGGCACAAGCAAGGGAACCAGTTGGCTGGAGCAGTGTGAGTGAAGGGGGCACCATGATGGGAGATGAATGGAGAGAGGTGAGCAGGATCCAGGGAATGTCCTAGGTCTTGGAAGAACCTGCTTTTAATTCATGTGAAATGGAAAGAAACTGATGGGTGCAGTGTACAGGGATGTTACTATCTGAGTGTAGTTTTGAGAAGATCCTTCTGGCTGTGGTATTGAGCATGCACTGTTGGGTAAGAAGGGGTAGAAGCAGGAAGACTGATTATTGTAATAATCCAGGTGGGAGATATGATGGCTTGGATCAGGGTGGTAATGGTGGAGGTGGTGAGAAGTGGTTGTGTCCTAGTTATAATTAGACAGTAGACTGGCAGGATTTACTGATGGGACCAGTTATGATGTATAAGAAAAAAAGAGGCATCTGGGATGACTCCCAAGATTTTTGGCCTGTAATCTGAAGGATGGAGTTGAATTTCACTGATGAGTACATTGTGGGTGAGTAATCATGTTTTGGTCTATGACAAGTCAAGTTTGAGTAGTCTGTTAGACTTTGAAGTGGAGAATGAATAGAAAGTTACACACACCCATCCAGTGTTTAGTGTATCAGGGATCCTGAGGAATGAGTGGCATTTAAAAAGGCATATATACTGACGAAGGGCTTTCTTACTGGAACAGTTGAAGACAGACTAACTGGATCTGGAGGCTGGGTGATAATTTAAGCTACTTTAAAAGTCTAGGTAAGAGTTGGCTGTGTTCTGATCTAGGGTGTTGGCAAAAGAAGTGGAAAGAAAAAGACACTGAATAAGAGGACTTGATAACTAATTGAAAGTAGGGAGAAGGGAGAGGCAAAGGTGAAAAATGGTTCTTAGGTTTCAAATGTGGATGATTGGAAGCAGGTTACACCATTAACAGCCACAAGCAGAAAAGCAGGTTTGGGGACAGATTGAGTTTGGCTACATCAACAATAACTATGTGTTTAGTGAGTTATAGTTTACAGAATCCTTCCTAGATATTATTTCAATTGGTCCTTTTACAATTGAGGTGCTTAGGGGATATCCATGCAGATATTTATTCAACAAGTAATTGGAATTGAGTCAAGGGAGGGCCTGACCCCGGGGCTGTGTGGATTGGGAGTCATTTGCATAGAGACTAATTGAATTCCTGAACTAGCTAAGGGCAAGCATGTTATAAAAGAAATGTGGTGATAGCAAACTCTCGGGGAGGTCGAAGATTAAAGGCCCAAAAAGGAGATGTAGAGTTACTTAAATAACTTACTTAAATAAAATTAGAGTCCATTAAAATGAAATAAAATCCAAAGTGCATTATGAAACTTCTATAGGAAAGCACATTTTGGGTACCCCACCTTCAAAAGCTCTTTTTCATTCCTACGCTCTCCAGTATTCATACTGGACTACCCCATTCTCACTACCCTGTTCTCCAGTGCAATTGACCATCCCTTCTATGTGCCTCATGTCTAACACCTCACTCTGCTCATTGGTTCTACTTTAGATTGAGCTCTCTGAGAGCTAATCCTCAGTACATAGTCATAACAGGGTCACACATTGGGAGACATGCAATCTGCCTTAATATAAAACAGAGGACTGTAAAGGTCATTCCATTATAACTGGCTGCTAGAAACTACCTATGGTGCTTTGAGAATAAGTCTAGTGCAGTGGTGGGGTGGATTTTAGAGAATCTTTGAGAAGAAGTAACAAGTTTATTTATGGTAATGAACTTGAGGAGAAAATATCAGGTAATCATTAAATTATTTAATAAGTGCCCAAAAAAGCCAGCCAAACCTTAAAAGATTATCTTTGGGGGAGATAGAAAAATATAGACGATTCTAGTAAATATTTCTTTCTAAAGTAATCCTTTTATGCATGGACCACTCCAAATATGAACATTGGATTATTTTTTCAGACTCATGCAGGGTTCCCTTAACCATTTTGTGAAAGAATTCACACTTGAGTTGAGTGCTAGGCTCTTGTTTCTGCGTTTTGGAAAAACACCATTTATCTCTGTAGTGTTATTTCTGTGATAATATCACTGAAACGTCTAGGTAGTACAGCAGAAATTTAGATGGAATTTCCAAACAAACAACCTTCCAGTTTAACCCTAAATCCGGTCATGTGACCCTTTGTTACCATGGGTATTTTGGTTGTAGGAGTAAGTCCATGAGTGATGTCAGCACGGAGGATATTCAGAACTTGCGTCAGCTGCGTTACGAGGAGATGCAGAAAATAAAATCACAACTAAAAGAACAAGACCAGAAATGGCAAGATGTGAGTACTTTTTATATTGGGAGAAGGGAAGACTGGGAGAGTATTCTTATTTGACTCTTCCTTGTTTCTCTTAAAAGATCAGGATACTTGAGATGATTTTCCTTGCTACAGAATTCAGTCCTCAGAAAATGCGATCAGCTTCCTTTGAAAAGACTCGTACACCTTTTTGGCCTATCACTGTTGCCTATTTTAAAGGCCTCTGTGAAAAATATAATAGGGTATTTATTTTCTAATATTCTCTGAGTTCTCAAAAATGTGAATCTGCTTCCTTACAGCATGGTTAATTTGTTCCCTTGCTTTGGTCAGTTGAATTTGGGGTATGACTGTTATTGAAGCTTGTGAAGGGAAAAGACTTAGCTCAAAGTTTAGAGGAGCAGGGGGTCCTGAACAGTCTTGGCATTAGCAGGAAGAGATGAAGGGGGTTCTCAGAGTTAATAGAGATTTGGGGAGAAATAAGAAATATAACTAGGCGTAATATTTTGGCTGGAAAAGTCATTGTCTGATACGAATCAAAATGAGATGTTTTCATAGAGCTGACTTATATTCAGATGTTTATATGGACACAGACTTACTATTTAGCTTTGTCCCTGCAGGAAAAAAAGCTTGACCTTTTTTGAAAGGGGTAATTGTTACAAACCAAAAGAGTGTCTAGGAATACAATAGATAAATTATACAGAGCGAAACCAAAGGATTTTGAGGATAACTTTATGGGAAGAGTAGAGTGTTAGAATGAACAAAAGGGCCAGGGATAGTAAATCTTCATTTTCAAAGAGATTAAAGCTTATGAGATAAAGAAGAACCTTCTGCCTTGGCTGCATTTCTCAATTCCAGGGTCTCTTTTGGTTGGGAACTCGATTTAATGATCAAGAAACAGTAATTCAATGTCACTTTGCCCAGATACATGGGGACAGTTTGGGTGTGAAAAGAAGTATTGAGGGGTTATCTGTTAATGCAGATGAGAATTCACGCTGATTACCCTGTAGGACTAAATGCGCACTGCTTTTATTCTTTTTGGAAGTGGTTCGTACTGGCTTCAGGCTGTTTTTAAACAGGAATGGCCCTGTCAACTCTTAAGGGTATAAACCAAACTAGTTTAGTCTGAGATCTTGGATGTGCTTCTCTTTGGACTGGAATGCCACTGGCAGTTCTTAGCGTGGCATTTCTCTATTTTGGAGACCTAGAAAAGTCTGTGCCATCCAGAATGTCTTAAACCCTTGAGTGTCGCAACCAGCTTAGGCTGCTAGGGCTAATTTAGGTCACCAGCTTCTGTTCCTGGGGATGTGGGAAACAGGTCCACTTTTCCTACGGCATCTTCCTTATTGCCCTGTTGTTGGGTAGAGTTTACCTGCTTTAAAATCATATCCTCAAGCCTGACCTCCCCAGGAAAGCCTTTTCAAACTCTGCCCTCCCCTGCCTGAGGTGGAATTGATCACTCTCTCTGTTTCGGACCCCCGCCATCCTGTGCTGTCCAGTCACACTCATTGTTGAACTTTTATTTACAAGTCCCTTTCCTTTCCAGCCCAAGGGTTCCTTGAGGGAACCCACATCTTGCCCATCTGCACGTTTGTGGTCCTCTGCCTCAAAGCAGGGATCCAGCTCGGCGTATGTTAAATTAAAGACAGAGTGGGCACTTACGCCTCACCATTCCAATCCTGTCTCTGTTCCAGTTGTACTAGTGAAATACGATATTTCACACAACAGCCAGATTATTGGAGTAAGATGAAAATGAATTTGAAACAGTTCCTGATCTTTCTGACCTGGCACCCAATTACAGGCATTTAGCAGGCTTTGTGAAATGGGCAGGGAGGCAGGAAAACAGTAATGGGGTCTATCTTATTAGGTCAGGTTTTTTAGACAGACACATGAGATAAAGGTTGGTACAGAAACACCAGCTATAAAAAGCAAAATTAGGCCACCCTGGCATCAAGTTGGAGTGAATAGTTTCAGCGATGTAATGGGATACCCTGGCACGCTCTCATTGCTAGAGAGGGTGTGTAGAAATTCAGGTATGCCTGTGCTGATGTGATTTTCTTCTGTCAGGATCTTGCAAAATGGAAAGATCGTCGAAAAAGCTACACTTCAGATCTGCAGAAGAAAAAGGAAGAGAGGGAAGAAATTGAAAAGCAGGCACTTGAGAAATCTGAGAGAAGCTCTAAGACATTTAAGGAAATGCTACAGGACAGGTAATAAAGCTGAGTGCATCTCACGGTTGGAGTTTCCAGTGTTAGAAATCCATATTTTATGTAAGGGTTGGATACTAATATTAAACCGTAAGCAAATAGATGTGAAACAGTCAGGATTTTACTCTGCAATGAGAAAGTAAAGTATTGCTGTAATAAAGAGTGACTTGGATTAACAAGAGAAATGGGTGCTTAATATAGGTGGGCATTCTTTCTTGATTTTTACATTGTATATTCAAGTGCAGTATTGGGTGGTGTTGGCCATCTTTGGTGCAGAAAACAAACTACCTTTTCTACTTTTAAAATGAATTTAGGAATAGAATGGCCAAATAAAACCAGCTCCCACTCATCTAAATTGTGTAAAATATCAAGTTCCTTTTCATGTTTTAGTGGTGCGATTAAAATTCTATTTTAAAGGAAGACAATATAAGCATAAATGTAAGGGGTTTATTTTTGGCATTGCAACAGAACAGGATAAAGGTCCAATTTAAAAGTTCCTGTAGAGCAGTTACTGTGAGAAACCTTGGAATATTTATAGGTCAGGGGGAAGGCAAATATGCTTTAAGGATAATGTCAAAAAGGAAATGTGCTGTCAGGTGAAGTTAAACAAAGCTCCTTTGTGCCATAGAAGCAAATGGTAAACACAGTTTCATTCACTTAAGAGGGATTCCCTACTAAATGGTAGTGATGAGGATGTGTGATGAACTTTTCTATAAATATGAATGGTGTCTTTAATCTGTAGTAATTGTCCATGCAAGTTCTATCAAGCTATATGAAATCATATACTAACTTGACCTTAACTGAAGTCTGAGTCTTTTGTGGTATTTTGTTTTTACTAAATTATTTTAAATTGCATACAGGAAAAAATACTCACAACCCTGTAAAGGAATCCACATCTTTGAAAGATTCAAATTGGTTGTCAGACAATCAGTTATATTTTAAGTGTGCTAATTTTGGAAGATTGATAAACTTGTAGGTAAAACTTCGTGAATATTCCCTTAGTAAAATATCCTCATTTTCTTTCTTCTTTTTTTTTTAATGTTTTATTTATTTGATAGAGACACAGCGAGAGAGGGAACACAGGCAGGGGAGTGGGAGAGGGAGAAACAGGCTTACCGCCAAGCAGGACCCTGGGATCATGACCTGAGCTGAAGGCAGACACTTAACGGCTGAGCCACCCAGGCGCCCCATCCTCATTTTCTTATTAACATCTCTTTACAATTAAAAAAATCCCTCTGAAATATTTGAGAGCCTCTTTAAAAAAAAGAATCAAGTTCCGACAATCTTTTAGTGTGGCACTAAAAAAAAATTACATGTATTTCTCCTCCTATTCTGTTAATATCGTGTTGGTTATTGTGTGAAGTCAGTAGCCTTTTTATTCTTAGTCCATTTTATGTTACTGCCCAAGTAACCTCTGTCTGTCCACCTCAGTGTGTCACCTGCGTAACTTGGTGGTTATGGTGTGCTTCTTCCTGCTAAGGGAATCCCGAAATCAAATGTCCACAGTTGCCTCGAGGAGGAGGTTGCATTCCTTTGATGATGTATTGAATGAAGAGATGCTTTCCCCTACACCGACCATGTTGGAAGCAAGTTACCAGAGCGAGAGAGTGGAAGAGAAGGAAACAGCATATTCTACAGAAATTCCTAAACAAGATTCTACAACTTTTGCAAAAAGAGAGGCCGCTGTGGCCGCTAACATTCAGCTTCCTTCTAAAAGCCCCATGGAAGAACAACTCCCAGACTCTTTGTCTTCTCGGCGTTCACTGACTACACAAACAGAGTTGACTCGAATTTCAGCCTCTCTCCCCAGAAGTTACCAGAAAACTGATACAGCCAGGTTAACATCTGTGGTCACACCGAGACCTTTTGGCTCTCAGGCAAGGGGAATCTCATCACTCCCAAGATCCTACACGGTAAAAAATGTGTTCCCAGTTCATTTAGTCTGTTCTCAAGAGCAAAATGTTGGGGAACTTGGGTAGAAGTTTGAGTTACCTCTACTTGATGTAGAAAATATGCATAACTTATGTATAGGGCCATTTTGTTTCAGCTGATTTAGTTTCAATACACATTTAATGCTTAAAATGTAACAACTCTGTGGAACTGATTAAACTTTAAATTCAATCAAAGTAGGCCTGATACCTTTTAAAGAATGAATAAGCTGCTTTCTAAGGCAGAACATTTTTTAGTGTTGTATTTTCTCAAATGTAGCTTTTGTAAAGTATTAGGCTGAACCATATGAAGATGCTAGTAGTTCTTTTTGACCTACAAAATAGCAATTTTGGGTGGTTTAACCCAAATATTTTCAGATGCCTTATGTACAGCTTTCTATTTTTCTCTGATTACCTGCTCTATTAGAACTTGATATGCTTGAATGTGGTTATTAAAATGTATCTCATGGTTCTATTTATACTGGGGTTTTTAAGAATATAGAAAATGGAATCATTTGCCCTGAGAATAAAGCAGTATTGCCTAGCTGAAAGTGGGTGTTTTAATTTTAACTACGTAAGAGGACGCAGTATAGTGTTAAGATCAATGTTCAGATTTCTTTTACCTCTGCCAGTATAGTATCCTAAAATCTAAGAAAAAACTTGAAAAGATTTTCAAGGTAAGGAAAACCTGCCTAAACTAGTCAGGAAAGTCCTAATCATTATAGTAATAAAATAGAGATATATTTGGCAGCATAAAAAAATCAAATGTATATGACTCATTAGTAACAGTCAAAAGACCACTTACAGACTCAGAAAAATATTAGTAAAATGAGTTTTAGATATAGAGTTAATATAACTAGGATTTAACATGTTCCTACAAATTGGTAAGAAGACAGGCAAGCAGTAGAATAACGGATATAGAAATGAGTAGCCAGTTTCAGGAAGAGAGAGTTCAAATGTTTGATAACATAAAACACATCAAAGCATGTTCAACCTCATGAGAGCAAGAATGAGGTGTACAGCTTTTTACACATCAGATTGACAAAGATTTAAAACATTGAAAATGTCTAGGGTTGGCAAGGATGCAGAGAAATAGCCATTCTTCTATATTCTATTAGGAGTACACTGCTACAATTTTTTTGAGAAGATAAATAGATATAAAGTTTGTATATTACATTTATTTTTTATAATTTCATATTATAAAATATCCTTTGGTCCAGTGAGTCTTCTTTGGGGAATCTATAAAAATAGATTATATTTATATAAAAATATAAAAATAAATATTCCAATTATAAAAATAAGTGGGTACTTGTTGCAATGTTTTTGGAAGTTACAGAAAACTTGAAACAACACTGAATGCATATGAAATGCATAAATGGTAGCTACCCGTACAATGGAGCGTTCAGCAATTAAAAAGACTAGTCTAGAGATCTGTCCATTGACCTATCAGGGTGATGTAAATGAGCAAAGCAAGTTTCAACAGTGTGTCTATAATATCAACACTTTGTAAAAAACAAATCCCCCTCCCACTACAAATGTGCCTGTCTGTTAGCATGAAAGAATGTACTCCGAGCTTTTAGGCATAGTTGCTGTGGGAGGTATGTTACTTCTATAGTTTTAAAGTATTTAATGTATATGTTTTTTAAACAGAAATCTAATGACACCAACCTTAAAATGGCGTTTCCTTTTTAGATGGATGATGCTTGGAAGTTTAACGGAGATGTAGAAGATGCTAAGAGAACACGGAATAGTTTGGTGAGCACCTCTGTGCAGAAACCTGACACAAGCCTGCTTGTTTCCAGCAAGTCCAGTGAGAGAGAGCGAGCAGTGGTGGGAGAAGGTGTGAGGGGGCTGCAGTCTCCTACACCCTCCTTCTCATCACTTTCCCAGGACCAGGCTGCCACTTCTCAAGCCACACTGTCTTCAACATCTGGCGCCGATTTAACATCTGCGTTTGGAGAAGGGGGAAGCTCACCGCAGATGGAGGTCTCGGGATTGCAGGTGAATTTGGGAAGGCTGCCTGTCACGCACTGCTCAGAAACATGAGTATTGAAATCTGGAAACCATGCTTCTAACCTCTAGGCATTATTATCTGGGCTGATAATGTGGAAAACGATATTGCAGTTTATTTTTAGCACATCTGGAAGAAGTAGGCCTCTTCCACCTTTGCGTTTATAGATCCAGATAACCCTTGTGATGTGTGTGTATTGAGGCTTTTTGGACCTATCTTTTTAGGGTTTGGCTGTTATTTTCTCTCTACTCTTCAGTTCAACAACAGTTGCCTTATACTTCTAGTGGTTAGCAGTCCTTGGTTCAGATGTAGGGGTCACTTGGGAGGTTACAGATTTAGGTCTAACAGGTAATTGAGTAATAAAAGCCCCTTCTCAGGGAAATTAACTGACCACGAGGGGAAACTGGTACACATGCTATGTGCTGGCCTCTAGGGACATGGCATTTCTTTCCCTATAATATTAACCTTCTTGTGACTTTTTTTTTTTTAAGATCTATTTATTTATTTGAGAGAGAGAGATTGAGCATGTGAGCATGCAAGTGGGGGAGGGCCAGAGGGAGAGGGGAGAGAATCTTTCAAGCAGACTTCCCACTGAGCAGGGAGCCCTATGCAGGGATGGATCCCACCACCCATGAGATCATGACCTGAGCCGAAACCAAAAGTTAAACACTTAACCGACTGAGCCACCCAGATAAGCACCCAGTGCTTTGAACTTCACTGAACAGACCACAGAGTGCCAGGAGAGGCTCTGGAGCAGAGAAATTACCAAGTGTAGCCTGGCATCATGCAAGTCGATCTAACACCAGCCTTGCAGAGAATGCAGAGATACAGGTGACGATTTACAAAGCGTTGGCACTGATGGGGAAAGGGCCTGAGCATTAGGCTAGCGGAAGCAGAGACAGAAAAGAAGACCGCCATGGGAGATTCTGGAGGAAGAAATGAAAGGATATTACTGGCGTAGGTGTGAGGTAAGAAGGAGAAGGAAGACCCGAAGAACACTTACAAAGCTACCAAAACATCTAGATGTTCACCAACACACTATTTTTTATTTTTCTCTTCTCTGAATACCTAGAATTATAGAGTTTGGACAAACGCTTGGAAGAGCATTACAAACACCCTTGACTTATTCGTCCCGGGCTATCTTGTAATGTTCACAGCACTGTTCCCGAGGCAGAAAGCTCCTTCTCGGTGACAAGAGCAGGTGATGCTACCTGAGCAGTAGCCCTGTCCACAGTGTAGGAGTGGACACACCGAGCAACTCCGAGATGGGCAAGTCACCGTGTGATCTATACATATGCGGGGGAGTTCCAACCACTCGACTTGGCAAAGCCTTATTTTGCTTGGTAGGATACCATTTCAAAGGGGCATGAATCCATTAACGATGACACCTGAAACCATGCCATGTTAATTCAGGTTCTCCTGAACTGCAATAACCTGAAACACACCCAACACCACACTTAGCCTCCTTTTCTTAATCCCTGGATGCGACTAGTCAGCTGCCACCCTGAGGGCGTTCTACCACCAAGTGCACAATACTTTAATAAGGCTGTTTTGTCGGGTTTGCTATTTGAAAACGTGAAAGCAAACACGTGCGTACGTCCATAAAACAAAAGCCACCTTGCTTCTGTTTTTATTATTCACCCACTGGTACCTTATGTTCTCCAAGTATACCATAGGCTACTGTTCTCATCCACTGAAACTTAGGATGTTAATTATAGATTTCCAATTCTTTAAAAATGAAGTTAAAAAAATGATAGCTAAGGATTTTAGCAAGCTGAAGAGATTATTTTTAGATATATGTTTGTCAAGATGCATGGGAACAACAAAGAAATATGCCTCCATGTTAACAAAGATAATCTCTAAAAGACAGGTCAACATATCACCATTTAAAGATATCTGTGGTCTGGCGCCTGGGTGGCTCAGTTGGTTAAGCGACTGCCTTCGGCTCAGGTCATGATCCTGGAGTCCCTGGATCGAGTCCCGCATCAGGCTCCCTGCTCTGCAGGGAGTCTGCTTCTCCCTCTGACCCTCCCCCCTCTCATGTGCTCTCTCTCTCTCATTCTCTCTGTCTCAAATAAATAAATAAAAAAAATCTTAAAAAAAAAATTAAAAAAAATAAAAATATCTGTGGTCTGTTCAGTGAAGTTCAAAGCACTCAGGGGAGCACTCCGTCCCCTCAACACTGGTCCCGAGCCCCCTTTGTAGTGCTGTAACAGCTGCTTACTGAGCGCTTGCCATGTGCCGACGGGCTTCTTGGGCGATTTCTGAGTCCTCAGGGACTGTGTATCCCTGTTTTGCTGTTGTGGAAATTGAAGCACGAGCAGTCACGTGACTTGTCCATGGCCGTTACAGGGTCCTGAGTGGTGGAGTCAGGATTCGTAACCAGGCACTCTGAACTAAAGGTCGCCTGCACCACAAAAGAATTGAAATTTGGTGACCGAGCCACACAACACTGCTTGCTTTTTCTTAAACACAGCATACACTTTCTTCAACATGTCATACATACTTGTTCTTATTGTTCCCAGATTCGAAAATGCTAATTTCACCCATGTTTGTCTTGTGAAGTCGTCCTGTTCTCTCAAAGCCTAGGAGGGTCACTTCCTTCATGAATCAAGACCTCTTCTTGCCCTAGTTGGAACTGAACTTTTCACCTTTGGTGAAAGTCTCATTTGCTGGATTCTTCCTCGTTCCAAATGTTCATCGTTTCTCCTTCACTGGTATTCTTTGTACCCTCTACAGCCTTTACACATAGTTGTCACTTGTGTCTTTACTGACTTGAATTGCATTCAAGGCCTTGATCACCAAACTGAAGTATGGACTTGATCCAGCAGGTAATTTAGGTCCTCATAGGCTCTTTTAATGTAGGAGTGTTAAGATTAAGGCGTATTTGATGACTCTAAGCACTTTGCTGTTACATAGAATTATTTTAAGGAAACAAAGTCTGGGGGTGCAGAAACTGGTTAGGAGCCTCTTACAGAATTGTGGTCATGAGGTGGTCCATGCCATTAAGAAGAAAAAGAACTTAATATAACCTCATTTAAAATCTGCCCACAGAAATTTCTTTCCCATCTCCATTGCCCAGGTGGGGTTTCATTCCTTCCCATTCCCTTTTCTGCCCTACTTCTCTTATGACACTGTTTCTTTTCCTCCCCCTTTTTCTGATCCAGCCTGCCAGGGCAATTGTGAGGGTGACCCCAAGGCAAGGGGAGAGTGTGAGCCCAGAGCTCTTCATCCTCCTCCATCTGCCTCACAGATGTGGCTTTGATTATTTTCCCCCGATTGGTCTCATTGACAGGGTTTTGTTTCCTTTTCTGTCTTGTCAGAGCCCTCTTCTCTCAAACTCCATCCAAATCCCCATTTCAGAACCTCTGCCCCAGATTTTTTAAAGTGCTACCCAGAAGCCAGATGATACAGATGGAAGGAAGGAAGATTTTTACATGTTTACTTCTCAGTCACCAAGCCTGCAATGGGGCCCCTTTTGAATAGCACCCAGGGATAATGCTATCCCAGCTTCCTCCCACACTCTTCTGTAGACCCTACTCCCCGGGAGGGCAGGAAGCAAGCATGCCCCCATCACTGTTAGCACAGTACCTGGATCTGAAAGTACTCGTTGAATGCTGCGTTCTCTTGGCTTTAGAGCTAGGTATGTGAGCGTTAAATAGGACTTTCTTTAGCTGACCTGGAAATTGCTTAACCAGCATATATATCCTATATAACATTGTTTCCATGCATAAGAGAAAGTAATTATGGGGCATGTACCTTGGCACCTTTGAAGTGTTTCACTTAATCCTCCCAATAACCTTTCAAAGTAGGTGGTATTATCCCCACATTTAGCAATGAAATACTTGGCAATTTGGAAGTTACATAAATTGCCCTGGGCTGGTTAAGTGTTTAGGCCACGACTGTAATTTCTCTGACCCTAATTTTTTGGAAATATGACAAACTCCCAATTTGAGAACTGCCTTATGTGTAGTTAAGTCTCCAAATGTTGACTTAACTTTGCTGTATCTCTAGAATTTTAGAGCCAACAGGGACTGAAATATCTTCTGTTGCATAAAGATAAAATCATTCTTAAGATTGTTTTTGAGGAAAGCTATATAGTTTTTTAAACTTACCAGAACTGGATCAGAAATGTGGGTTTTCTGAAATGTAGTTTGAAATTTACCCAATAGGCAGTAAGGAGCTACCAGCAATTTTAAAACAGGGTGCAGTAATGATAATTGGCATGTTCTGTGACTAACAGTCTGGGAGCTGTGTAGAAGATGGAGGGAAAGAAGGACGGAGGCAGGATCGCCAATTGGGAGGTGGCCGCAATAGTTTGGACTATGGTCTCCCCTCTAAATTAACATGGTAACCTGAAGAGTAACAAAGGGTGGGATAATTCAGGATAGACTTATGGATGGAGGACTTGAGAGCACTTTATTAAATGCATGGATGCAGCGGGGGCGGGGTGGGAAAGGCAGGAGGAAGAGGCCCCGGTGTTGCTAACTTGGGCATCTGGTCAGATAGTGATGTAACTGACCAATACTTGAGAAGCAAGAGGTGGAAAAGAGTAGGTTTGGGAGGAAGATCCTGAATTTAATTTTGGATATATTGGGCTGGGTCAATAACTGAAGACACAGCAGGGAAGGTTATTCAGGAAAGCTCATAGTCAAAAAGACGGGAGACTGGCTCAGGGATGACAAAAAAGTGAGAATAGGAGAGCAAGCAGGGGACCACATTCATGAAACTGTGAGGTGGTGGGACAGACGGAGGAAAAGACGGGAGAAAGTGGGATAATGGGTGACACAGAAGACAGTTTCTGAAAGCAAGAAGAGTTGGTGTAGTGCCTGGTGGGAGGAGGACTGATGATGGATTTGGTAGGAAAGAGATAAACTTGAAATGGGTTAAGGGATGGCACTGGAAATACCACCTGCCTCTTGGAATGGAGAAGTGGATGAAGTAGGTAGAGATGTGCCTTTCCTGAAGGAGAGTGGCTCCAGGGCCAGAGCAGCACCATGATTGGGGGGTCACTCACTTAAGTTCTCCCCCCACTCGCACCCTGAAAAAACGATGCAAAAGAATCATGTGTGCAAAAATCAAAGTTGATCTATTTCCTCTGTTACTTATGACTGTAGAGCCCAAATCTGTGTTTTGTGTTTTGTTTAATTTTATCAACTTCAGTAGGCTTCCCTTAACACATTTATCTAATTGAAAAAGTTTGGGGAAAATAGCTTTTTGACCTGTTAGTACGTAAGACTGGCCCTGTTTTTCATCAGTTCTCATCTTTGGTGATAGGAAAGTCTAAATTCATAGATGTCCTAAAATTAAATCTTGCCATTGCCTCTCTAGATAAATCATCATGTTTTTGTCTAAAAAGCTCACCTTTCAGTTGTACTTCTGTATAAATCAGATCTAATTTGAGGGAAATTATTTTTAAATGGTGATATGTTGATAACCATACTTTATCTTTTCTGGCATAGACAACTGGAACCACTTTATCAGTCATCAGGGATCTAGATTTCCCTTAAGAATTTATATTTCTGGTTCTATCCAGTTCAAGCAGCACTTCCCCCATCATCGTCTTCTGAGGCATGGATCCTTTGTGGACTACTCACATGGCATGTATCTTGCAGAGATAAATAAGGAAGTAGAAATCCTAACTGAAATCACTGTTGAACAGTTTGTGCTTGACTATAATTATAGATATGTTCCCCTGCAAGGAGTCTATGGGCTGATCTAATTCAAGGACCTAGGATTCCAGAGAGATGCCTGAGGGACTGCCATCATGGGCAGGTCACGCCATTGAAATTATAGCTTGTAATTGAAATTATAGCTATTCATTCTAATCCCTTCTATGTATTGGTTTGGGAGGGAGCTGGTCTACATAAGATTTTCATTTGAAAATAGGGTTTTGCAAAACAAAAAGCTTGCAAATCCATGTCATTATGAGAGAGGAGACCCTGCCAGACTCTGAAACATGCCTGAGGTCACCTGGTTATTGATAGAAATGGACCTGTAATCACTCCTGTGGTTCTTTTCTCCTTTGCCTGTCTACAGTCCTAAGGACCCCCACACCTACAGTCTGCCAGGCTTAGCCACAGTGAGGCTGTCCGCTGTTAACTGTTTCAGAGAGGTGGTTATCTGCTCTTTTATTTAATATGGTCAAGTGGAGGTTTATTTCCAAGGCAAGAATATCCTTTTGTGAGACAATTCTTCTGGTCTAATAAAGCTGTGAGACTCTTTCATCTATAGCTTAAGCTCATTCTCTTTTATCCTATATTTGGTAGAAAAGGATAATGTTTACTTGCTGTCTCCCACAAAGTATTCTTTATGTAGTTTGAGACTATTTATTAAAACTCCATCCTGTCTTTTATTCTTCAAGATAAAAAACATCAATTAGCATCTTGCATATCTAACCTATCATTTGTCCTCTCCCATTATATAGCAGTAGATTCTGTGCTTTACTTGGCCTTAAGTAAAATTTTTTTTTTTTTTGGAGGGTAAGTGTAGTGAAGATGACCACTTATTTTCATTGAGTCATATCTAATTTAAGTGTATGGTAGTTTCGGTTAAAGAGAAGAACTAACCACTAATTTTTTCTATTCATAGCAGAGTTTTATTCTGGAGATTGGTGTTCATCAGGCTGATTATTAACATGTTTTCACTAACTGCATGAGGGTTCCTGTATTTAAACTGCTTTACAAGCTTTCTGATGAAAACTTTTCTGTATTATTAGCTACAGATTTTTCTTAAAATAATTCCATACTCAACTCTGGGAAGAGTCAGTAATTATTTTTCGAGAGCAAGGACCATGCCTAATCCATCTTTATTTCCCAAGTACTAAGCCCCGTGTCTTATACAGGATAGATGTACAATAAGTGTATGTTGACCAGATGAATAAGTGAATATTCTTATAGTATTTCTGTGTCCACAGAATGTAGTAAGTTCTTGGTTCGGTGCCTTCCTTGCCTTCTTTCTAATTCTTACATAATATCAGTTTTTTTGTAGAATAGAGTCACTTGGGTTTTAAACTTGTTCGAGAGGTCAAAAAACTTCGGCATAAAGCTTTATGAATTGCCCAGTTAGCCCTAGGCTCGGTTTTAACTGCCACATTGAACTGGAGAATTTGTAGGTCTTTTTTTCCTGGAAAATAAAGTGACTTTAGGGAGAACTTCTCCTTTTTAAACAGTAAGTCTAAGTTATTAATTATTTTAAATCAAAGACTGAAACTAGGCTGGGAATTTCAAGTTGAAATTCATGTCTGCTCTTTACCCAAAACAAAACATATAAATTATGAAAGGCAATTGAAATTTTCACAGACGTCGTGTATTTTACAACTTAAAACATTTGTTTTGGAAAATGGCTGCAAGTCTGTGAAACTGAGCATTTGTTGCTGTGTAGGATAGTGACAGAGTTGGAAATAGAGGTCTGTTGTCTGGGAGGCTGTTGTTCTGGGGTTTGTTGTGGCTGATGTGACTTCGAAGAAGTTGTGACTTGTTGCTTCGGTGTCTCAGTAGGGGTCCTCTTGGCATCTGACCCTGGTTCCTCAGAGATGACGTAGCTCTGCATTTTGCAGCTTGTCTGGCAGCTCTGCCCTCACCCCTCGATCTTCATGTAGCAATGGGACAAACAGTCGCCTTGCCAAAACTTCAGGTGCCCATTAGGGGGTGGTCCCCGTCCTAGTTGAGCTCTACACGTACCTGAGTCATGTGTCGATGAACCCCTCGAAATTATGCAGCTAAATATGTTAAATGTCGGAGATACCTTTTTAATAAGTATGGTGGCATTTTAAAAAGCATTTAAATATTTTTTTTGCATTTCCAAAAATGCTATTGTATTGAAATATATGATATGTAACATTGTATAAATTTAAGGTGTACAATATGTTAATTTGACACATTTATATATTGTAATATGATTGCCAATGTAGTGATAATTAGCACCTCAATCACCTTATATAATTATCCTTTCTTTTTAGTGGTTTGAATAATTAAGTTATAGTCTCTTAGCAAGTTGGATTATAATACTGTGTTGTGCATGTTCACTGTACTGTGCATTAGATCTCTAGGGCTTATTTACTAATAGCAAGTTTGTACCACTAAACAACATACACAACATGCCTTCTCACTCCTTTCCTGGGTAATAGCAAATGGTCTATAAATTAAACCCAATTGTGTAGTGGGCAAATGCCCAAGCCTTATTAATGCCCAGCTGATTATTAACGAATGTGAAGAAAAACATCTGTTGACGTGAAGGTTTCTCTTGTTTTAGCAGAAAAATAATAAACTCATTGATATGTATATAAACGAAGGTTTTACCAAACCCAAGTTAAAAAGATTGATGCTTCTGGTTTATCATGAAATAATTCAAGTGTACCTTGCATGTGGCCTCCCTTCTTTCATGGATAGACTTTCCTCCATGTGGGTGCCAGGGACACCTGATCCCACCGTTTCGTGTTTGTTTTCAGGATCAGTTCAGTGATATGAGAATCAGCATAAACCAGACGCCTGGGAGCGGTCTTGACTTTGGGTTTACAGTAAAATGGGCTTTTTCTGGGATCTTCGTTGCATCAGTCGAAGCAGGTAAATCATAGATTTGGCTCTACTCAACTTTCTTCCCTTTGTTATCCTATGCTGTTCAAAAAACCCTCCAGAAATTAGTTTATGTGATATAGGAGGAGAAAACACATGTGAAAAATATAGGAGTAAAGTGAGGAGATGCATCCTTTTCCCTGAGACTAATACCGTTTCTTCTCCTTGCCTAATTAATTTTAGTTTTGTAGAATCTTAATCTTGTGACCTTTACAGAATTCATGTGTCAAAATTTTTGGTTTAATATTTGGAAATGATTCCGTGCAACACTTAACTGAAAATTTTGAAAGAACTGTCCATGATTGGCCGTGGTTGTGGTGGATATATATATGCTCTATAATAAATTGGTGTTTTCTGAGCATCCTAATATATCTGTAGCCCATGGAGTCCTCAGGATGCTTCAGGACTTATACAAAAGGAGTGCCCCTCCCCCACCCAGGGTTCTACCAAGTCAGTCCCAAGAACCCTGAGCAAAATATTACCACAGAGGCTATAATTAACCTATTGTAGTTAAGAGGAGTTCCTCATTTACATATTTTAGCTATATAAAATTGCATGCTAACTCTAGTTATTTTTTTTGAAAATTCAAAAAGACTGTTTAATTAGATAACGGTAAGTGCTAATTGTAAACAGTTTTAAGTAGCCTTGCTTTTTTTTTTTTTATCCATTCCAGAGTACATTTGGATTTGGAAGCTCAATTAAAGTACAATGTATTTCACATCTTTAATTTAAAAATAATTTAAAATTTTCTTTGTTCTTAGGAAGGTAATAAAGAAATTTTATTGAACAGATGAGCTTATTCCTCCTTTACATGTTAATGAAGATACATACTATAGAATGAAAAATGCTTTTGGTGCTTTGTATGTTGTAGGTACTCAAATATTTGATAACTTAAAAAAAATTCCTGATTCTGCTCTACCTGAAAAATCCAAGAATGGTTAGTTGGGATTAAAAAGTCATTTTTTTTTTTCTCTAAGCAATGACTAGCAGGATGTGAATTTTTTTTGTTAGGAATTTTATGTTATTGGTTGTATTATTTATTTTGCTTTATATAGGTAGCCCAGCAGAATTTTCTCAGCTACAGGTAGATGATGAAATTATTGCTATTAACAACACCAAGTTTTCATATAAGGACACAAAAGAGTGGGAAGCAACCATGGCTAATGCTAAAGAAACTGGAAACCTAGTAATGGATATCAGGCGCTATGGAAAGTCTGGTGAGTTGGTTTTACCACTGTCTGCCTTTCTCAGTGGGGAACTGGTCTTTGGCAAATGGTTATAACAGCTTGCTTCAGTAACTTTTTTCTCATTTTTAAAAAATTTTTTGGCTTCGAGGTATTTTGTGGTTATGCTGAGACAAATCTTGAACATTCCCTCCTTGACTATTCTGTCTGAAAACTTTTCACTAGCAAATTTACTGAGTTCTACATTATTGATTGATTGATTGATATGCTATACTGACTGAATGCAGGTATTAACTGAAAGCTATTGTAATTGCATCTGCATTTGGGAGTCTCATAATAATTTTGAGTGTTAAGAATTACACTATGATTTTACTTTCTCGATAGCACCATAACTAACTGCTGGTGTAAGAGAGAACATGGTGGGTCATATTCCTGTTGTTCATGCTCAAGGAACTTGCAGTATGATTCTACTATTGTGTTTCTTAGTTGTTGAGGTTGGATGGGGAATGGCATTAAGCTTCCCCCTCCCTGCCAAATTATGATCTCAAAATACGATATTCAGTTCTGGTTTACAGAAAGTGTCAGCAAATTTGCTAGTCTTTTCCTTATTAATATGATCTAACCCTTGTGTTTTCAGAAGGTGATTTGTTGGTCAAAACACCTGCACTCTTTACTTCCTTCCCACACTACCTGATTTGTTTGTATGTTTTCTGTATGTACATTTTGTGTGTGTGCATTCAGTAACTTTGTTCTTTTCACTTCACCATTTACGTGTACTCATTTCTTGATCATCATGTGCCAATCAGACTGGGGCAAAGACCAAACTTCCCTACCATTTACACGGCATAAAACCCTCAATCTCACAAGTATGGCTACCAAAATTATAGGTTCACCCGAAACAAAGTGGATTGATACAACTTCTGGAATTTACAACTCAGAAATGTCTTCAAATCTGTCAATAACAACTGATTTCTCAGAAAGCCTCCAGCATTCTGTAAGTATTTTGAAAAGTGGGAGTATTTGTGTGGAGCAAAGTGTGTGTAGGAAGTGTGTGTGTGGGGGAAGAATTTGAACAATTTTGAGGCTACTTGAAAAACATTTAATTTATAGTAATGGGAGTAAAATGTATTTTTGACAATCCGAAGGCAGTACTCATTGATAGAGTAATAGTTATATAATGGGAAAAGCAAAAGATCCCTTAGTGGTGTTCTATAGGTATTTCCTACTGATCTTCATCATTATACCCATTTCTTAGATCTTTGGGGATGTGAAGTAGTAATGATGTAAAATTATGCACTGTAAGTTTTCTATGCTTTCTTTGGTCTTTAGGGGTAAATTGCACACAATTACTCTACTTATTTTAAAACCTCATGAAGCATTTTTAGTTCTTGTGTAGATGAATTTGATGGGTAGACTTAGATGTGTGGTTAAGAGATACTCAATTACATTGATTAAACATAATTACAATGTAGAAATTTTTCTAAGTATCAAAGCAGTAGTTAAATTTAAAATTTTAAATAAATGTTTACATTGACTCCCTAAATATAGTTGTTGTTATCCTAAGATATTCTTTTATCTAATAAGGAGATCCTGCTACATTGTGTAAGAAAAGCTTAAATGCTGAAGAATCCTCTATGCTTGTGTTGCTTACTCATAAGTATAAGCTAAGTGAACTTAATTATTTGGCACATCATGTTTCTTGGAAAATTAATGACTGATTGAACTTAAAGTCATCCATGCTTATAGAGAGGTGGTCATTAATCCTTTCACAAATATTAACAAAAATTTAAAAACTTTCCTAGCTATGTAAAAAACTATAAGAAATACATTAATATCCTGTAAAACTCATCTTGTTAAGTTATTCTCACTACTGGGAAATGCATTATTTAAACCCAGAGTCCAATTGGAAAGAATGTTGTTAACTGGCATTTTGTCCTTTCCAGAATATTGAATCCAAGGAAATGAATGGAATTCATGATGAAAGTACTACTTTTGAATCAAAAGGTAAACATCACCATTATAACTAGGTTTATAATATAGATGTCACAGCATTCAAGTTCTGCTATTATGAAAATTAATATCAGTGAGTCAAAGAAAAACTGATCCCACTGCAAGTTGAAACTAAGAGGTTAGCATGCAGATCCAGTTGCAGACAGGTGGAAGGGCGTTCAGTTCCAGGGTTTGAATAGTTCAGGAACTACAAACAAAGGTTGGCAGCGTGTCCAGGAGCTTTGAGTGACTGTGTGTCTAAGTCAAATAAGAAAGACTGGTTTTCCTGAGGCCATTAGCCTTCTTGCTCTGGTATGTTGGCAGAGGGAATCTTAGTTAAATCTGAAACGATGAATGAGGTTTCCTTTCTCCCTTTATTGTGAAAGGGACAAGTTTGTAGGCAGCTAATATTAATAGAGAAATGGCAATAATAGTCGTTAGCCAGAGGACCCATTTGTAATGAAAAAGCAGGTGTCGTATCTAGGGAGGTCTTGTATGGTGGAGTTATCACTCTCTTCCTTCTGTCTGTCCATAAATCATTGTTGCCACATGCTATATGCTACTCCTTAGGCATATAAAATAAATAAGAAAGATCTGGTCCACATAGGCTGGGAAAAAGACCCAAAGAAGACAGAACTCCTGCTACCATGAAACTAGACTCCCACCAGCTGGGTTTTCACAGCAGTTTGACGGCTTTGCATCTGCATTTGCCAGTTCATAATACATTAGGTCAAAGCCAAACCAAGTTTATAAATTCCCCTTGATTGATGATTTATTTTGGTACTTAATTTCTGATAGTTAGAAGTGACTGCAATGATGTAATGTATGGTGATTAACATAACATAATAAAAAAAAAAGTGACTGCATCTTAACTGATACTGCATTCTTTATCAAAGGAGTTTTTAAAACAAACCTGACTTATTTTTGATTCACGATGTTCAATCCAAGACATCTAGGTCCCATTCTGCCAGTGACTCAGGCAAAGCAAACTGCTAAGACACCAAACTCATCATTAGTGACTACAACTATATGCACGCCTGTTATTTGAGTGTTTTCTTTAGACAAGTAAGCACCAACTAGTATGAAGTAATAATTGCATTTACATATTATGAATAAACTTAAATATAAGAATCATTTGCCATAACCTTGCAACACATCTGTAGAAGTCAGAATGTTTCTTTTCTATTTTTTTTTTTTAAATCTGACTGAACTCCATTTGCTTAAAGTTAGTGGCTATAAGATGTTAAACCAAGTCCAAATACTTTAGATAGAAGAATATTTTAATTTGGACATTTGTTTTTATTTTATCTTTCTCTGGGTATTAATTTATCTTCTTCCTTCCCACTATTTCTCAGTTCACTTTTTACTTAGCACTGCAAAACTCTTAGTTACAAATACTTTTCCTTGGACTTCCAGCTTTTGGATTGATTAACTTAAGCAAAACATTTTAGTTTCCATTTCCCTAAAGCTGTGTGATCTAGCATGGAAGTATTTTGGCTTCTATGAAACTATGATGCTATCTGCTAGAATTTATTAATAAAATAATTAGTTCCATTACTAATTTGGATGTAGTATAGACTACTAAAATATGTGTCATTGTACATTGAAATAATCCATATCTTCTATGGCAATCAGTTTTGTCATTTTACAACTAATGCTGCGGAGTAGAAAGGTGTATCAAAGACCATTTAGTTTCCAGTGGTGAGAGATTAAAATGAATGACATGGTATTGACATTTTTTTTTTTATTTTTCAACTAGCATCTGAACCTATTTCTTTGAAAAACTTAAAAAGGCGATCACAATTTTTTGAACAAGGTAAACTACCAAGATAACAATTCATGCACTTTCATGGAATTGTTCCCATTCTCCACTCTGTCCTCGTAGTCTTTGGTGCTGGGCATTAAGACTTTTCAATTTGGCTGTCATTGTGACCAAGCAACATAACCCATTTCCATTCTTTTCCTAGGGTCATCAGGCTTTTCTTACAGTTCATGGGTCTACCTCTGTGGTAATGGGTCTTTGCGTGTCTTTTGTATACCTCTGAATTTTTTTTTCTAATTAAAAAAAAAAGATTGAGATGCTGTTAAACACACACTTCTTTCCACTGGGTGGTGACAGTAAGAAATGAGGAACTTCACTTACGCCTTACTGCTTCCTACCAATTGCATAATATTAGATTACACCAACGCCCAATTGTTGAACTTTTGAAAACTCTAACTTTTGGTTATGGAAAATGCTTACTAAAGAGCAGAGTTGTTTATTGCTACTGGAATGATGGCTTTGGTGTGTTAATAGGACCGCCCTATTAACTCTGAAATAAATTAAATGTAAATTTCGGTTGCACTTCTGAACACGTGCATTTTGAACCTCCCTGTGTTGGTGTAGTTGGGTCCCTCTGCCTTCTGTGCTCTGCATGTGGCATTTCTTCTCCCTCCCACGTCTAATGCCCTGTCTCATGAATGCAGTCGGAGCTGTGCTTGTCCTATCAAGAACTTAAAAGTAATATCCAACATTTGAGATGCGATGGCACAGAGAGGAGTGTGCTGTTGGTGTCTAAATGTTATTGTTTCTTACTTTTAAGGTGATTAAAAACCTTTACACACTTGCCTTATATTTACTGGACTCATAGATTTTTTTATTTTTAAATCTACTAGTCTTTCTTTGGTGAATTAAGGTTTCTTTTTGACCGTAAATCAGAGTAGCTCACCAGCTATGCATGTACGAGGTCTGTTTGTGTCCGTATCCTTAGTGTTTTTTACATTTTTGTTAAATTCCTGTTTTTCTATGGTAATTTAATTGAAACAGTATGATACTCCTAGCTCAAACAGGCTACGTAAGACAATTCCCTTCTTTCTCTGGTCTAATTTTCACTCAGTTTTCTTCAACAGGCTCTTTTAGGGAAGGATATTTTCCTAAGTCTCAAAGCAGTTTTCTATTAAAAAAAAAATGTTTAAGTGAATAATTTATTTGACAGCTGAGGTTTCAGGAAAATTAAAAAAATATTGTACAATAGTGCCTTTCATGAAATTTACTTACTTGTTTATTATTCTTGTACAACATACAGACACATATTCATGTAGCACCCCCTGAGAATAAAAAGAAGAATATTAGGCTCATAAGTTTACACATGAAGTTTGAATATTTGTGCTTTCCTTTCAGAGGAATGGGAAAGATTTCTTGAACATGTCTTTGTGGTGTCTTATTTAAGTAAAGTAGCTCATTAGCAAGGAGATCTGGAAAATCTGATACAGAAGCTGTCACATTGTCATTAAATAGTGGCAAGTAAAATTTGGATTTGGTAGATGTTATAACATTTGAAATTCTTTTTTCCCCTCTTGGGCTCAGCTGTGACATACTACCTGGTGTATTCATAAAAGAACCCTAAAACCTCTTCAGAAAACACCAGCCGTCCAGCTCTAGTACCGAGGACTAGGGGGCTACTCTCGGCATCCCTAGTTTCTCTCTCTCTTTGTTTTAAATGACTTTGACTTTGGAAGATGAGTAACAGATGGAATTGAAGAGAAAAACTGAGATACTGCTGTGGTTTAAAAAGAAACCAAAAAAACATTGAGCTCACTTAGTATACTGGCATAGAAACAGCTAATATGACTCTCTGAAAAAATTATTTCATAGAAATGAAAAGACTTATATGTTTTTTTTTCTTCCTTTCCCACATGGTGCAACACAGGAAGCTCAGATTCTGTGGTTCCTGATGTAAGTAGCATTCATTTGTTTTTGGAATAAACAAGGTGACCTTGGTGGGACTGAATTAGCACATACTAGCGTTGCTGATTTTCGGTTGCATAAGAATTTGTCACGGGGTGGGTAGTCTTTCCAAGTTGAAAAGACCCATTTTGAACCAGAAAGCCAAACCTCCTCTAGTACCGCTTAGGCCAAGGATGGTATGAATAATTCATGTAAGCGAAAGTGCTTCAGTAGATGACTGAACAAAGTAATATGTTCTTCCTTTGTTTGCACATCTTCTCTTATTACTGGTTTAGCTTCCAGTTCCGACTCTCAGTGCCCCAAGCCGCTGGGCGTGGGATCAAGAGGAGGAGCGGAAGCGGCAGGAAAGGTGGCAGAAGGAGCAGGACCGCCTGCTGCAGGTAGAGCAGAGTGATGTGGGCCCACGGGAGCGAGGCAGGCTGGCTTTCCCTGGTCAGGGTCAGCCAGCATCGGGAAGCAAATTAAAAAAAAAAAAAAAAATCAAAAGCTAATAACCTCATAATTAAATCTTTTGCTAGGCAGCACATTCTGCACTCATTACATTCTATTTTGAAGCTTTCTGAGTCCTCCTTTTTTTTTTTTTTAAAGATTTTATTTATTTATTCATGAGAGAGAGAAACAGAGGGAGAAGCAGGCTCCCAAGGAGCAGGAAGCCCGATGCGGGACTCGATCCCAGGACCCTGGGATCATGACCTGAGCCGAAGGCAGACGCTTAACCATCTGAGCCACCCAGGCGCCCTGAGTCCTCCTTTTAAAATCATTATTTACCCTGTGTATTTTTTAGAAGGCAGCACTATAGTTTTGTGGTTTGATGTATTCATACACAGGTGTATGAATTTTGTAAGGACTTCCACCCCCTAAGCTGTGTTGCAGAGAAAAGAGCTCCATTGCAGAGAAATTTGGTCCCCCTTGCAGTTAGCTAGGGGCTTTAATCAATTACAGCTGTGGTAAAGGGTGGCTATGGATTCAATTTTGAGTATCTACCCTTTCCTGAGACTGCAGTTTAATTCGATATAAGCTAGTTCATACTTTGGGGATGAAAGTCCGATTGGTGAAAACAGTATCACCATCTTTAAAGACTGAGGTGAAGGGTAGAGCTAGCAAAAATGCTGGTGAAAAAGATCCTGTGTAACATCATTAATCTGTTAATTAACTAATTAACTAATATGCTATCTTTCCTTATAGGAAAAATATCAACGTGAGCAGGAGAGACTCAGGGAAGAGTGGCAAAGGGCTAAGCAAGAAGCCGAGAGAGAGAATTACAAGTACTTGAATGAGGTAGTAGTGTTGGAAGGTGCTGTGTTCTTCTCTGTCTCAGTGAAATTAGCCGAGACGGAAGATCCTCTATTTTACGTGGCTTTTGCCACATATCCACTTATATAAGCTCTTTGAAAAACACAATGAGCTCTGATTTGTCAGAATTTTGCTCTGATGTTTCAACCTTTCTCTTAGTTTCTCTACTGTATCATTACTGCTTCTATTAATGGACCCTAACTGCATCTTTCTCTTTGTACTTATATTTCACCCACGTGTGGCTTTGTTAGCGATAAAACTTTTAACATCATTTCGAGTGGAAATCGGGCCAACTACAGTCAGTCTCTCAAACTGAATATAAATAAATGAAATTATAGTGATACACAGATTCGGATGGGTTTCTCTTTCCCCCCTGGTCACATAGGAACTGATGGTCCTGAGCTCAAACAGCATTTCTCTGCCCACCCGGGAGCCTGCCGTGGCCACCTCGGAAGCCTCCTGGGGTGAGGAGTCCAAGTCGTCAGACTGGGAAGGGACCCGAGCAGGAGAGGAGGAGAGGAGACAGCCAAAGGAAGGTGCAGAGGAGGACCAAAGAAAGAAGCTGCAGGAGCAACTCACGCTTGAGAAAGAGAGGAAACTGAAGGAGCAACAACATGAGGAAGAGCCAGAGTGGAAGCAGCGTCAGGAGGAGGCCCAGGAGCAGAAGCACCAGGCAGAGAGAGAGAGGGAAACTTCAGTCAAAATATACCAGTATAAAAGGTTTGTCCTACAGCCGAAGGGCACTGTGATGTTTTTATATTGGCTTGGCTTAGCTTGGTCCATTCCGCACTTCAGAGGCTCCTAGTTGGTCCCTACCATCCATTTTCTACACAAGCAGCCCAAGGGAGACACCCTTTACATTGCACACCCTGTTCCTGTTGCCTTACAACTGTTCAGATGGCTTTCCTGTCACATTAGAATACTACCCAGGTGCTCGCTGTGACCTAGAAGGCTCACATGACCTGGATTTTGACCCTCTGGTCTACTTGGCTTCCTACCACTCTTCCCCTCGCTCTGTCTGTTCCAGCCACACTGGCCTCCTTTTTCTTCCTTGAAAATGTCCAATGCATTCTGCCCCTGAACATCTGCATTTTTTAGTCCCTGTGCTTGCAGAGAGCTTCCCTCACCTCTTTCCTTGTCTTCCTCATTTTCTTTAATAAGTCTCTGCTCAGATGTCACCTTCTCAGACTTTCCAGAATACCTTACATGTGCCTTTTCCCCACACCTTCTCCTCATATGCCTTACCCTGTTTTATGTTCTGTATTGGTTGTCCACTGAAATGTAAGAATTACATTTAATACTCTTTTTGTTTTGTTTGCTTCAGTAACCCAGCCCTAGAGCAGTGGCAGGCACTCCGTATACGGTTGTGGGATGAATGAATTGCTAATCCCTGTTGGTATTAATAGGTCTTCTTTTTGCAGTGATTGATCGAAATGCTTCTGTATGTTTAGTTTTCAACCCAGAGACCATCTCGTAAAGAGGCTAGAATAACCTTGTTTTGATATCAATTTCTCAAACTCAGGAAGAGTGTTAAAGTCTACTATGTTGACCATAAACTCTTCTTTATATCTTTTAGGCCTGTTGATTCCTATGACATACCAAAGAGAGAGCAAAAATCTTCAGGGCTGCTTCCTAGTGACAGGTATATGGGACATTTTGTTGTAATTTAGTTGGAATAATTGACTTGAGATGAATATTTGAGGGCTTGCCTAGATGTATTTTAGAACTACTTTAGCTCTTGATCTTTTGTGGGATATAAAGAGATCTTGCTGGTTGATCTTTGTATGGACTAGCTTTTGCTGTGTAACCAGCTACCCCTAAACTTAGTGATTTAACATGATTTTGTAGGTAAGTATTTTGGGCTGATCCTAACTGGCAGTTCTTTTAGTTGATTGGGCTCCTCCTACATGTCCTACTAGTTTACTAGGCAGCTCTGCTTTGGGGAGTTGGCTGTCAGCTGGGACAGTGAGAACAACTAGAGCATGTTCTTTCAAGATCCAGGAAGCCAGTGCAGTCTTATGTACATGGTGGCTGAGCAGAGAAGACAGAATTAAAGAGAGGAAGCATGCAAAGTACCTTGCTGTCTATGTTCTGAACTGGCCCACCAATGCTTCTGTCACATTCTATTACCTAAAGTAAAATCACAGGCCAGCCCAAGTTCACAGAACAGAGAAAAACTTTACCTCTTTATGGGAGGAGCCGCAGTGCAAGGGGAATGGACACAGGGTAGAATTGTGTTCATTTTGTGCAACTGCCTTCATTTTTATTTTAAGGAGGTTATAAGCAACAGCATCAGCTTGCCCCAGGTGAAGTTACATGTGGACATCTGATACGAGAATTGTGGCCTTCTCTGAGTTTGATGAGAACTACTGGTCAATTCCAGGCAATGTTATCTACATCTTAAAATTTCCTGAGACATAAATTTAATGTTTAAAAGTAATTTTTAAAATACTTGGCAGTTTTGAAATTACCAAGGACTTCTGAATAGACTCTGTCTATAAATATCCAGTGTATGACCATTAATTTGTGTTTTCAGAGCTGACATTTCTTCCTTAGGAATTTACCTTAGAGATATGGAAAGATTCATCTCCACAGGCAACCAGGCTGACTGAGTAGGACTCCGAGTAGATAGGGAAAATTAATATATAGGTAGTAATGCGCTGACACTAAGCTAGAAAAAGTTTTAGTGATGGATGCTCTTATTTTTTTTTTTAAAGATTTTATTTATTTATTTGAGACAGAATGAGAGAGAGAGAGCTCATGAGAGGGGGGAGGGTCAGAGGGAGAAGCAGGCTCCCCGCCGAGCAGGGAGCCCGATGTGGGACTCGATCCCGGGACTCCAGGATCATGACCTGAGCCGAAGGCAGTCACTTAACCGACTGAGCCACCCAGGCGCCCCGTGGATGCTCTTATTTATAATGATTTCTGGGGAACTGTGGATCATTAAATGTGTATCTCTCTTTTTTTAAAGATATGCATTTATTTATATATTTATAATCTTTACGTAGCTTATAACCTGGAGGCAATAATTATATTGCAGGAGAAAACGTAACAAATCCTGGAAAATACAGAACACTGCCAGGCCTTTGAGGTACAGCATGCCTTAGAGGCGTTAAAGGGTGTGGCAGAACATGTTGCAATAAAATTATTTTCTACGTTAATACAAATGAAACCACTCATGAAAGTTGTCAGCAGTTGCGATACATTATGTATTGTACTTTATTGTATGTTGTATACGTGTGCATATACATTGTATGCATGTACATATGTAATGTATACATATGATAATGTATATTATTCATTATTACCACTATTATTTGAAGTTACGGTGCTTAGTAAAGTGAGAACGAGACCAGCGTGGGTCGATACAAAAACTTAAACGTTGCCATTACAAAATGAGTTATCTTCAGAGGTTGCCTCTGCCAGGATGCTTGAATACCTCTTTGCACAGCTAAGGTAGCATTTGGTGAGCAGCTGTTTTGGAGGAAGTACCCCCAAAATTGATTTCTTGACCCTTGGGCAGCATGAAGGAAAGGACAGTATGATGTCAGGTGATCTGATGACAGATGCTGGTACCCCCTGTACGGTTGAGATCTGGAAGGGAATCAAAGTATACAAATTGGTAAAAAATCATAGGCTTAGTCATCCTACAAACTGGAGAGAATCTTTGCATATTCTTCACATGCTCTTCTCTCATTTAGAGACGTCACTGTTTTCTGCTACCTTGTACAACATGAAAAATTCCTTATTAAGAAGATAAATGTAGCTTTCCACAGATACAGGAATTAAATCAACTGCTTTAAAAAGCAAGCTTTTTGGCGTTTTTACATCATAAATGTAAAAAAGGTGTTCTTAATGAGATGTCTATAATATGTTGTATTTTGTGTTATAGGAATAAATCCAGATCCACAACTGAACTGAATGATTACCCTACAAATAAAAATGGTAAATGTGAATTTTTTTCCCAAATTCTTCAGCACAGTTGCTTCTTTATGCTATCACATGCTATGATAGTATTTTTAAAGTCAACGTATTTCAGATTCATTAAGATAACATAATTAAAATACCAAGTATTTTTAGATTTGTGTATAAAAACACAACTAACTTATGTTTATTTTGGCTTTACTTTATAATGGAGGGAGTACTGGGAGATTAAAATGGTTTTAAATAGCTAATGAAACATGTGGAAATTTTTCAGTATTATTGATAGTTTTGTATAGATTTTATCTTGCAGCCAAGGAAATGGGACAGAAAAGTTTTCTGCAGAATACCAGGGGACTTAAAAGTTGTTTATAAACTTGAAATTGTACATTTAAGTGTCAAGATGTCCAAAAGTCCAAAATGATAATGATTTTGCTAACCTGGCAAAAATGATTTGGAACCCGATATTGTTAGTATAAAGTGTATTTTTAGGAAGCATGTAACTGAAATTATACAACTAAGGAAAAAAAAACCACTAAGCAAAAAGCATGATTTTAAGCAGCGTTTGCTTACCAGGTTTTGGGCAAAGCAGGGTGCTTGCTGGTCAGTTATATGAGGATTGGGGTGAATTTGGTGGACAAGCCCACTGAGTGGGTAGCCACGTGGAGGAATGCAAGCCTGCCCTTGCCATGTGGGAGAATGCAAGGCCAGTGTTTCTGTGGTTAAAGAGAAGTTAAAAACAATGTGGATTTTCATGTTATCTTTTAAGCGCTGACAAGGATAAATAAAATTTAAAGCCCTCTGTGAGCCAAACCACACATCTACAGGCCTTAAATGGTCAGGTGGAAGCTAGTGTGTAACCTCTGGTTACAGCTTGTAAAATTTAGTTTCTATTAGGTCCTATGATCACTCCTTCTCCTTAACACTTAGGAGCTTCCATTATCTGGTCCTACTTTAAATTTCCAGCTCTTTTGCTCTTTTTGCTATTAGGGACCCTTATCTAAAACCAGAATTTTCTCTTTCGCAGTTGCCAATTGATCAGATGCTCTCTGGTCTTACTTGTTTGGATTTCTGGGTTTCTTTTGCCCTTGAATTTGTCCCTAGCCACCATTAAAATCAATCAGTACTTTAAGTACTTCGATCTTCAGTATGTGTTTTCTTCCCTCTACTAACCCTAAGCTCTTGACGAGCAGGCAGTGAACTTATGAAATATTTTATTGAAAAACTTGGTTATGCCAATAAGGCACTTTTAAAATAGGAAATATTTAATTTAAAATCTGACCAAATTGATAGGCTGTGGGCACCCACAAAGGGAAATATAGGTGGGCATGAGAAAACTTTGGCCTTGTTCACTGCTTGCTGGAAGATGAACTAAGGCAGAGATGCACTGTGAATTTAGAAAAATTAATAATAGTGGTAAATCTGGAGAGTGAAAGGGAATCCTGAGATGGAATTTCCTAATCTAAATTAAAGGGGGAAGAAACTTCAAAGTTACAGACGTTTTACCCAAATCAGAAATTAATCAGCAAATCCAAAATGAGACAAAGCCTTCAGGATAAAACCTAACTGAATTGTCATGCATATATTCAACATCCAAATTATAGTTTTGTCAGTTTCTCAGAGGACAAACAAGTCTGTTAACAGTCCTTGGTTAACATTTGGGTTACTTGGATATTTTTCAGTCTCACAAAAGCTATTTTAGTGGTTGAAGGTGCTCTCATTCCTACAATTTGTCATGGCTTATTGTAGAACTTATACCAGGAAGACTTGAGTGGAGTCAGCTGGAGAAACAGCATATAAGTCTTGCTCTCCCCAGGGGGAGTGTAAGTTTTTGAAGGCATTGTCACAGCAAGTTTTCAGTGAGCGCATGTGTTTGATTGATTTAATTTCAGAAGGAAGGGACAAGTGGAAGAGAAATTATTTGTAGGCGAGCACTTTGTAACTTAATAGTGCTGAAATCAATGCTGGTTGTTTCCTTTTTTGGGCAGCCTCCTTAAGTCTTCCTAAGTGCGCTCTGTGGCATGCCTCTGGGTGTGGAACTGGAATTTCCAGGAATCGCAGATTTGACTTTTAGGTTCCCATGCAGCGGTCTCATTGAGAATTGATGTTACATATGTGTACAATGTCACATCTTTTGCTACATTGTATTTGGAGGTTTATCCACAATCACCCCCCCCACCTTTAATAACGTGCTAATCCTACAGCTTCTGATGTGTTTTTAATTTAGGAGGCAATAAATATTTAGACCAAATTGGGAGCACCAGCTCGTCACGGAGGAGCTCCAAGAAGGAACAAGTCCCATCGGAAGCAGAGTTAGAGAGACAACAAATTCTTCAAGAAATGAGGAAGAGAACAGCTCTTCTCAATGACAACAGCTGGATCCGGCAGCACAGTTCCAGTGTACATAAGGAGCCAATCTGTCTGCCTGGGATTATGAGAAGGTGCGGCACTTTTCAGGAGTGATTTCCTCTTCTGTACTCTGAAGCAGATGTTTAATTTCTAGACATTAAGTTTTGAGGTGGTGTACGATACAGCAATGTCTCTTTCTTTTATAGTAGTATCGTATTCTGCCTTATCACAATTCATATCAAAATTGACTGGGCAGCTCTTTGGATGATGTTGGTTGGGGCACTTGGACAGTTACAGTTCTTTTGAGTAGAGGTTGGCAATTTTTTTTTTGTATGAAGGACCAGATAGTAAATAATTGTGGCTTTGTAGGCCACGTCAGTCTCTGTCACATATTCTTTGTTTTTTTTTATGACCATTTGAAAATTAAAATTACCCTTCGCTCACGATCTGTACATATCCTGACAGTGAGCTATAATTTGCTGTACCCCTGATGTTGATGCTGTCCTGGGAGGTCCTCAGGAGCTATTGGTGGGGAGCTGCTGGTCAGGAGCTTCTGCTCCCTCGCAGCCCCTCCACATAGCTGCTTGGGCTGCCTCATGACATGGCACCTGGATTCAAAGAGAAAAGCTTGCGGAAGATAAGCCCTAATGTGCAAGTGTTTACAGACCTCCATTTGTATATGTTTGCTTATGTCCCATTGGCCTAACATGTCATATGGCCAAGCAGAGAATCAGTGGGAGGGGACCACACAATGGCATGGATACCAGGAGGATAATTCACTGGAGCCCTCTAAAGTGCTGTCTTTGTGTGAACTGACTTGAAGATAGCTCTGAGATAATATGTTACCTGGAATAAAGTGAGTTATGAAGAGTATGCATTGTAGAGTAATCCCATTTAAGAGTGTTAAACTCATGAACCCATTGCATATGTATATATAGACATGGCTCTACTCGTAAATTTGTCTCTGTATGAAAATCTGTATGTAACAGAAAAAGTCTAGAAGCTAACAGTGGTTACCTCTGGGAATTAGGACAGGTAAATTTTGGTAAGTGAGGGTGGAGGGAAAATTTATTCTTCCCTCAAATACCCTTCTATATTGCTTGGGTCTTTCTCATCACAATGATGTAGTAGTTCTATAACTTTAAAAGAAAAAAATAGGGGCGCCTGGGTGGCTCAGTCGTTAAGCGTCTGCCTTCGGCCCAGGTCATCATCCCAGGGTCCTGGGATCGAGCCCCACATCGGGCTCCCTACTCTGCAGGAGGCCTGCTTCTCCCTCTCCCACTCCCCCTGCTTGTGTTCCCTCTCTCGCTGTGTCTCTCTCTGTCAAATAAATAAATAAAATCTTTAAAAAAATACATATTTCAAACTTGGGATAAGAGTTCAAGTTTTAAATGTAATAACAAATTTGACCTGTTAGAAAGAAACCACTTAGGGATGCCTGGGTGGCTCAGTTGGTTAAGCGTCTGCCTTCGGTTCAGGTCATGATCGAGCCCCACATCTGGCTCCCTGCTCAGCGGGGAGTCTACTTCTCCCTCTCCCTCTGCCTGCCGTTCTGCCTACTTGTGCTCTCTCTCTCTCTTTCTGTCAAATAAATAAATAAAATCTTCTAAAAAAAAATAAACCATTTATAATTTGGAGTCAATCTTTGTAGATCAGAATTAATATAATCACTTGAATTCATTCAGGAGAGATTTTCTGAAAGTTGTATTTAAATCAGTTTGTGAGCTAAATTCGATTTTATTTGTTTAAATAATTTTTGAGCATCTTATTTATTTATCTATATATCTATCTATTTGAGAGAGAAAGACACAGAGAGCCAGGGGAGGGGCAGAGGAACAGGGAGAGAGAATCCCAAGCAAACTCTGCACTGAGTGTGGAGCTCGATGCTGGGCTTGATCCCAGGACCCTGAGATTACACCCAGAGTCGTCCACTTAACTGACTGAGCCACCCAGGTGCCCCAACTCTATTTTAAATGCATATTCAGTTTAAGGGAAGTGGTTGGTGAATGCTTCTATAAGATGGACATTAGACAGTTGATTAAATTCAGGGCTTGGGGGGAGGGTGAGGACTGTAGAGTAGGAATTATCTGGATTACTCTGGAATCAAGGAGACACTGGTTTGAAAGCCAGTTCCACCACTAACTAGCTCTTTTTCATATGGGCAAGTTAACTTCTAGAGATATAAAAAGAAGTGTTGTGAAGATTAAATAAGTTAAAAATTTTGTGACCGTGTTTAGTCTAATACCTGACATATGTAAGTGCCTAAATGGTATTTTTCTTTTGGTTGGGCTTCAAAAATTAAGATTGGTATGTCTAATCCATTGAAGATTTAAAGGAGGAATGTATGTCTTGGTAGTAGTTTATTAAAAAAAATTTTTTTTTAGTATTTTCTTTTCCACTTCGGTGTTTTTTCTTTAAGCACCAAGTAAATAAAAATGAAAATAAGTGAAGATTAATTGAATATGAAACATTGTGATGTTGATGAAAAGAAACTTTATTTATTAAAGGTAATTTTATATGTAACTGGACTTGTTAGATTAATACGTACTTATAAAATACATAAAATGGGTATTTTAGGGACTATAATGATGTATTGATTCTAGTTGAATGTATTATATAGTCTTTTTAAAAATTTTATTATGTTATGTTAATCACCATACATTACATCATTAGTTTTTGATGTAGTGTTCCATGATTCGTTGTTTGCGTATAACACCCAGTGCTCCATGCAGGACGTGCCCTCTTTAATACCCATCACCAGGCTAAGCCATCCTCCCACTCCCTCCGCTCTAGAACCCTCAGTTTGTTTCTCAGAGTCCATAGTCTCTCATGGTTCGTCTCCCGAAATCGGAGAGGGAATGTATTACATAGTCTTAATGAACTCTTTCCATGTTTCAGAGGTGAATCTCTAGATAACCTGGATTCCCCAAGATCCAGTTCTTGGAAACCATCCCCTTGGCTCAATCAGCCTTCAGGAATCCATGCTTCTTCCTCTGTTCAAGACTTCAGTCGCCCCCCGCCTCAGCTGGTGTCCACATCAAACCGGGCCTACATGCGGAATCCATCCTCCAGCATCCCCCCTCCTTCCACTGGTTCCGTGAAGACCACCGCTGCACCTTCTCCCACACCACGCAGCCATTCTCCTTCAGCATCACAGCCGGGCTCCCAGCTCCGCAACAGGTGAGAACCTTTGTCTCGGGGAATTTTTCATTAAAATTTCCCCAAAGTCTTGTCCAAATTTTCTAGTGAAAACCAAAAACAAGCCTTTTGGAATCTGTCAAATTCAGTGTTCCTTTACCAAATCAATTAAAGGCTTCTTAATGGCTTTCCATGCTACCCTAAGAGCATTTATGGATGTCTTGTGAAGCCATTGGAGACCTTTAAAACATGTACCTCATTGCCACTGTCTTGTTTGCTTTTGCCTGTGGTCAGTGCAGACATACTCATATAATTCTCAGCACGGAAGCATAAAAATACACAGTAGCTTATGAATTCATTTGCAGTTTATGACTGAGAGCAGTATTGTAAAATGTTTGACTTTTATTGAGACTATAGTACAAACTCTTTTTATAGGAACTGAGTTGAAAAGGAAAGCATTATAACCAAGCTCCATTGTCTGTGGAACTTTTAACAAGCTGAATAGAAAAATAGATACTGCTTTTTTTGTTTGTTTTTGGTTTTCAAAACCATTGCTGGCTTCTTATCTAGTTTGCCAACATTTTGTTCAGACTACATCAACTGAATTCTGTAGGTTCTATGCTGCAGGTACTGGGTAAGAGTTATAACTATAGGTCTTGACTCCCATTTGTCTTTTGATGTGGAGTAAAGCACAGATATCAACACGCGTTGGGTTTTGAGGTTTGCATAGCTTCTCTACAGACAATCAGTGCTTCATGAAGCCCTACACAGCAATGTTTCTGCTGTCATCTGAAGGGAGTTCTACTGGCATATAGTATTTTCCGTTGCAAGCGAGGTACTGAAAAGTAAAAACATGGTGATAAGTATTGGAATTTTTTTTAGCTGTCAAGGGATTTTGTTAAGAAAACATATCCATCTAAAATAATGTTACTTGTACCAGGATCTCTAAAATGTGTGTCATAGGGTTTGACTTCAGAAGGGGTGCAAATGTGTGGTAAATGCTGGGCAGAGATGAAGGCTCTCGAGTGGGAGGAGGCAGCATTTACTCACTGAGAGCTCCACCCTAGGAGAGCAGGTAGGAGACAGGCGGTTGGCTCTTCTGCCCTGGAGAGGTCTCTGTCTCGGAGGTGGTCCTCTCGTGTGAGGCCCTTGGCAGTTCTGTACTTTCAGAGTCACTAACCTGGGCCAGTACTGTGGGATGCAGTGGTACTAAGTGACCTTTACCTTCCCACCTGGGACAGGAGAGACTTGCATCCAAAGGAAAGCAGCCACCGTCCTTACCTGTGTCCATGGTAGCTGTCAGCCACTTGTCATCTCCTCCTCCCAGAGGCAGTCCTGGAAGCCAGGGGCACGGTCAGGAGAGCACTGGTCCTTCTGTGTAACTAGAAGAGCAGGTGAATGAGGAGGAGAATGGGAAGATAAGATTAAGATGGTAGAAGAGGCGCGTAGAGCCTTCTGGGTGGAGCTGGGGCTGCTCTCCTAGGGTCCGGCCGGGTGTGACAGGAGGAGGGCTGGGCTTTGGCCGGTGACCTGGCTGGATTAGAGGAGGGGAAGACTCATGCTGAATACAGATGTGATCTCAGGAGAATAATGTCCGGAGTTAGAGAATGGATGAATTACACTGAAATTGTTAATTTACGTGAAGAGTGTCAAGGGTTTCAGAACCGCCACGCGGAGCTCCTTCAAGGTACAACACCGCGTACTTTGGTTGGTTGGTGACAGTTTTCCTCCCACAGATCTGTACTTTCCTAAGAATTATTAATGTTAATGCCAGAGTGTGATTTTAAGTAACTTTGATCCGCGCCGATGAAAGCCTCCATTCCCTTCTCGTTCCGCGTCTAGGTCAGTCAGTGGGAAGCGAGTGTGCTCCTACTGTAGTAACATTCTGGGCAAAGGAGCCGCCATGATCATCGAGTCCCTGGGTCTTTGTTATCATTTGCATTGTTTTAAGGTGAGACCGAGATGAACAGCCTGCAGGCCCGCAAAGCTTTGCTTGGAGAGCGCATGGCTTCTTGGCGGGCTGGGTGTGAATGTCCCACTAACCAACTCGGTGCTACATTTTGTCAGTCTGTGCTGCACTTTGAATCGCAAATGGCCTGTTCTTAAATCTTGAACCTAGTCTCAAAAATTAAATCCAGAAACACTATGCACTCCTGGTCTTTAGTCTGTTAAGATTCTATGAGTAATTTACAGCTTATATGTCCTTTCTTTAACATGATGTCACAGGCATACTTGAAATATAATTTAGCAGTGTTATTAACAGCATGGGGACATGCAAATCGGAGTCTCTGAGAGCCTAGCTTTGATAGGGAGGGCATGTAAAGAAGAGCATTGTCAAATATTTTTACGATTGCAAAGCCTGCTTACACCTGATGGGTTTTTGCACATAAGAACGAAACCTGTAATTTACTCCATTTTGCATTCTCTGTCTTTAGAGACACATCTGTGTGATTCTAGAACTTGCACTGTGCCAGAAAGAGACTCTGGTTCTTATTCCTGGAGTCCTGCAGAACACAGCTTGCTTAAGCCTGTGTATCGCTGGCTTGAGTAGTTCCTGGGCAGAACAGAACCAGTCAAAATAATCAGTGTTTGGGCATGTCGAACCAATGTATGCAGTCTCACAGTGCAAGTGCCATGTGCAAACACTCGCCAGGCTGGGGCAGCAGGCCACCAGGCGTTGCCCGCCTCAGAGGAAAGTGCCAGAACCCCACTCCCCATTCACTTCTCTGGTTCTTCCATGTAATGCCTTATCCTCTCACATTACCCTGTAAGAAATGAAGACTCCGTTCTTTCCAGCCAATCAGCAGATCATTTTTACTCTTTTGGTATATTTAGAACGATCATTTTGGCTCTTAAAATTAGACTTATGCATTCTTTAATGTCTCATCTGGCAGGCTTGATTTTAATCTACTAATTATCTTTGGGGCTTTTTTTTGTCTTTGCTGAAACAATTCTAAGAGCTTAAAAGTTGCATTCTGCTCAATTTCCACCCCCACCCCCCCGCCACCCCGGGAGTGCCCTGAGGGTTCTCCAACTGACTGACTGTGGTGGTTCTTTCTTGTCCCTCAGTGTGTGGCCTGTGAGTGTCATCTCGGAGGCTCCAGCTCAGGAGCCGAAGTCAGAATCAGAAACCACCAACTCTACTGCAACGACTGCTATCTCAGATTCAAATGTAAGAGAGCAAATCAGGGAGAAAATTTCTTGTCTTTTAAGGAGACCACGGGTTCCCATGCATTTCCCTGAATCTGCAGCCATGTCCCCCTCAAGCCCCCTGCCTTAGAATTCCAGGCTTTAGGAAGCTTCGTGTGTCCCGCCCTTCAAAGCAGGTATGGTGAGCGGGTCAGCGCTCCAGACTCCAGCCACTCTCGGGAGGGTTGAGGGGCCAAGGAGTTGGAGAGGGACACCTGCCTGAGTCAGGACGGCATCCATTAGAAGACACTTCTAATGACTTGAGGCTATCAACAAACCCAAACAGACAGTTTAAAATGATCCTTCTGGGTAGACTGTACTCTGTTTCTTGGCTAAGAATCAGTCCCTCATTATCAGCTGATTTCTGTTACTTCACAGTGGGCTTTGTTTCTGTGACTTAGAACATGACCAACTTTAAAAACAGTGGTTTGAAAAAGGTAGTAAAGAATGGCTTATGCTTTGTTACTATATAAGCATATATTAGTATGATTAATATTTTTAAAAGGAGAACATGAATTCTGATTTGATGGTGTTTCGGTGTCCTTTTTGAGAAAACTGAGTTTTTCAAAAACTTCACATGCTAATTTGTGTAAGCATGTTTTTGTTTGTGTGTTATAAAACCGAGGATAGCTCCGACAGATCGCATGTCGTTTATAGCCACATAAAGACAACCATTACTGCTGTTGATATTTGGAACCTTGATGCTGGTAACATGTGTTTCTTCCTTATTGTGAAAGGATGTTACAAGTGGTATTAGCAAAACCTTTTGCTTTTGAGCTCTGAGGTATTTACATGGCCCTTTATGTGAAGAGTGCTTTGAAAATGGTTTCAGTCCAGTCAACTCTCTTTTATCTGTCAGCGGGTTGTGAACCTTCGCTCCCTGGCGTCCGGTCCTTTTCTGGATACGACCACTGGGGTTGGAGAGTGGCAAGGCTGGGCACGTAATGGCGGGAGTGTGTGTATGTGTGTGCGTTTTTCTCTCTTGAATCAAATTCCCAAGCCAAATAGAATTGATTTTTGGAATCTTCAGGGGAAAATTGCCCATGCCTTTTCTCTCCTCCAGTACAAATAATAGAGAGTTGAGTGTAACTTATTTCTATATCAGCAGTTTATGTTTACTTCATTTTTGCAAAGAAAGGATTCTAGAACCGAGGCTGTGATCTGCCTAGCTTTATCTTAAGTGAGTGACAGGTCACTCTTCTACCTCACGGGGCCATTCTCTGAGTGATTACTGCTATGTATCCCGGGCGGCAATATCTAAGTATTTCTCTATCCTAAGTACTTTTCTTTTTTTCTCCTTGCCTGATCAGCTGGACGGCCAACCGCCATGTGATGTAAGCCTCCATACGAAAGCACTGTTGCAGATAGAAGAAGAGGTGGTTGCTCCTGATGTAGATCTATAAATACGTGTTGTATGTCATTTTTGCTCTTTTTTTGAAAAGGATAACACTTCTTTTTTTTTTTTTTAATTTTTTGCCTCTCTAGATTACATCAGAGCATTATGGTCTTGGTAGAACCTATATTTTTGTTGTTGTTTATTTATAAGAAGGTGATTCTGTGTGTGGGGGGGGAAGTGCAGTATTTACTTTTTGAATTCAACATCTTAAAAGCACAAGGGAAAAATAAGAACTTCAAAATATTTTTGATGCTGATATTGATCTAGTTTGACTTTCTAGTGGTGTTTTGAAGAGGGTTATTTTATTGTTTTTTTTTTAAAAAGGTTCTGAAACATTATTTGAAATAGTTAATATAAATATATAATTGTGTTTGCTCTGTTTATTGTAATGTATACTAAATTAATGCAGAACCGTATAGAAAATTTCACTAAAATCTACCCACAAATTTGCTTTCTATGTCCTTCTTTTCATCTATGTAATATTGTGCTTTTTAAAAAAATTTTTTTAGCATATGTGGCATTTTATTTGCTTGATGAGGGGATCTCTATTTTCTTCACCAGAATGATCACTAAGCAATGCCCAATAGAAAGCTGCTGCTTTTCATTAATACAGAATCATCATGGTTTGTATACCAAAAGTTTTCTCCAGGAACTAATAAGCCTTTCTGTTCCACTGTGTTTGTAAATAAACTTGCTGATGCATTAAGGACTGGTTCTCTTTTTTCTTCTGTGTGTGTGTATGTGTTTGTCTACCTCCCAGACCTTTTAATCCCATTTCAGTATTAAACTTGTGTTGATATTTTTTATTTAGCATCTTTACTGAGATAAAAAGTGACATATAAATGAATTCATATATTTAAACTGTACAATATGACAAGTTGGATATGTGTGATTACCTATGAAATTATCACCATAATCTTGATATTGTTTTTACTGAAAAGTTTCACTAGGAACTTTATTTTTGACGGAAGGTTGTTTCTGAATGCTGTACACTTCTGTGGTAAGAGGTGAAATGAGTGGTGAATTGTTGGATCATTTGGATAAAATCTTTATTCTGCTCCCCAGTGATAAAGGAAAATAGCAGTGAGTTTAGAAAATCTATAGAGAAAAAAAAACCCAAATGTACCTTGTTTTAAAAATCTGGAATGGTGAAGCAAGAATACAAAACTTTAGCATGCTTTGAGCAAAAATATCAACTTGCATGAATCCTTTATAACAGTGAAAGTAGAATGAATAATTCTAGGGTATGAGAACTGTATTTGGAATCAGTTAGAAATAAGAAGCTCTAATACAGGAGAAAATTAAAAATTTAGTTTGCTTTTGTTTTTTAGTACTTATTACTTTAATAATCTGAAATAAAGAATGTGCTTATTGGGGCACCTGGCTGGCTCAGGAGATAGGAGCATACGACTCCTGATCTTAGGGTTATAGTTTCAAGCCCCATGCTGGGTGTAGAGATTATTTAAAAATAAAATCTTAAAAAAAAAAAAAAGAATGTGCTCATTGAAGAAAATTAATCAAATGCCCCAAAGCATACATATAACTCTCAATTCCCAAACTCCAAAGACAAGAGCTCTATTTGAACTCATTCTCTATTTACCCTGTATTCTTAGCATTGGATTGTGCATTTTTCTGTGTTCTTAAAATCGTTTCTATTTATTTATTAATAGTTGCATAGTGCTCCATTGTTTAGTGCTTTTAATGTTTAGTTGATAATTCTGGGTGTATTTCAACTGTTTCTAATGAACATTTTAATATGTATAATATGATTAGCTATATCCATATAAACATATTTCTCATTTAAATCCTGTGATGGACTCATATCTTATTTCTTTATATTTTCATAGATATGAGATTACTGCCTCAGAATATAAGCTTAGATAAAAATATGCCTTTTTAAAGCTGTCATGGTACATATTGCCAAAGTGGCTTCCAGCCAAAGCTGCCACCAGCTTAGATCCCACAAACAATACGTGGGCTTGTCCATTTCCGTGCATGCTCACCAAAATGAATTTCTGTTGCCTTGTCGTCTGCTTGACGTGCAGTAGCCCTCAATATGTAGTAGCTGTAAAAATTAATAAATAAACCACTGCTTCAATTTCTGTCTTGTTAATTCCGCTTGTTCAGGCCTCTAGTGCAAGCTTTAGTTCATACGTGGTGATTTTAGTTTTCTGATCCAACATCTTTTCTTTTAGTCTTTTTCATCTAAGCCTCTTATCTTTTCATCTCTTCTGTTGATTTTTCTTCTCAGTATGTTCTTAGGACTTTTTTCTAGTGTTTCTCACATTATCTTGCTCAGTGATGACAATTTTGTTAGTACAAATTGTTAGGACAGTTTTCAGAGGTTTTCTTCTAAGACACTGGTTCTATAGGACCTCTGTATACACCCGTGAGTATGTGTTGCTTCATCTAGGAACAAGGAAAGAGGCAGTCATTCAATATTTTTTATTCATACTTTATGTCCCTGGCAGTTTTTGGCACTGTAGATAGAACAACACATAAATTTGAAGTCTTGCTTTTATGTGCTTAGATTTCTAGTTGGGAGAGAGAAAGATAAAGAAAGGCATGAAAATGTAACCTATGATAAGGGTCATGAAGAAGAAGTGATGCAGAGTGTTAAGGAGGATACTCAAGTGCTGGCAACGAGAGTTTGGCCGTGCTTTTTATAATTATAAAGGGTTGTCAGAGGCTGCCTCCTTGACCTTTGAGCTAAAGCCTGAAGGCATGAGGGAGCAAACCTTACAGGGGAGGGGAAAGCATGGCAGACATAGACAACCACATGTGCAGAAGTCTTAGGGTAGAATATTTGGTGTGTTCAAGAAGCCACCATGGGGTTGGAACAGAATGAGAAAGAGGATGGGAGATATGGGGAGGGAGGGCACAGGTCAGCAGACTCTTCCAGAACTTTGGCTCTTACTTTGAATGAGAGAGGGAGCTATTAGAGGGTTGAGCAGAGGAGGGAAATGAATTACCATTTTATAAGGACTACAGACCACTGTGTGAACAACAGACTACAGAAGGGCAAAGTTAAAGCTGGGAGACGAGTCTGGACTCTACTGAAATTGTCCAGGCAGAAGATGTTTTCTTCAGCAGGGTAGGGGCAGGGGAGGTAACGAGGAGTGGGCAGATGAGATAGTGTGTGTTTGTGTCTTGAAGGTGAAGCTGACGATCTGATGACGGGTTGGATGAATTGTGAGAGAAAGGGAAGAGTCAAAGTCTAAAGTGTTGTCTTGAGGAGCTGAAAATTAGAATCTTCATTTTCTGAAATGGATGAGGTTGTGGGTAGAACACATTTGGGGTGGTGGGGCGGGGAGATCAGAAGTTTGGTTTTCAAACATGGTAAGGTGGAACAGTCTATAGATGATTAATGACAGTGTGGAGTAGGCAACTGGCTATGCAAGTCTGGAGTTCAGGGGGTCTGGCCAGAGAGATGAATGTAGAGTCATCAGGATATAGATAAAACCTAAGCTGAGAATTGGGAAGACCTTCCCTGGGTTCTGAATAACTAGAGAAGTTGTCCAAGGATGGAATCCTGAGAAGCCTGGAACGTCTGCAGTGCTAAATGCAGAAAAGAAAGTAGCATGAAAGTTTATTCTATTCAAGAATATACTTGTGGCTTTTTACCTAATTTTCATTTATATCACAGGGTGAGAACTGCCAAAAAAAAAAAAAAAAAGAAATGATCTGGATTCCGAGGACTACAAATGGAATAGTCAGCCCTGCCTATTAGAATTGAGGGACAGGTCTAATAGGATATGGCAGGGCTAGGATTCTACTTTAACATCCATCCCTGCAATCTGGAAGAGGGATTAAACGCATGTTAATATAGGTCCCAGGTCATATCAGTAAAAATAGCCTTAAAAAACCCTAATTTGTCCTTAATATCCGTGAGTATGAGACAGGAGAAAAGCCAGCTTCAGGATTCTTGTCATAAAGCACGTAGGTGCTGGGAGTATATTTGATGAATACAGAGCAATCCTTACTCTCCTATGGAGAAGAGGAGCACATACCCACAAGACTTTTGTACCCAGTGTGAGAGGCCACGAGGCCTTTACACTAAGGGAGTAGAAATGACTTCCCTGCAGAGTTGATATTTGAACAGCATCTTTCAGAGCAGACACAATCTTAGCAGATCATGTAGAAGGAACAAAATACCATTTGAGTGGAGGCCAAACTCCCAGAGTTTGTTTCCTTACTTTGCATTCCCATCAAAGCCATACACCATTTGGCCTGTCTTACAGAGGAATGGGAAGATCCCTTGATGGTCTGTGCGTGGTAGTGTATCCATTATGCTCTGAGGGTCTGGCCTAGGGTGGGGAGACCGCAAGAAGGAATAAGGTGAGAGATCATGACCCCGAAATGGGACAAGACCTAAACGGTATTGAAAGAATAGCTCTGGGACCTCAACCTTGGGCAGGTTAGGTGGATACTGTTGCTAGAGATGAGCTCTGTTTTAGACATACTGTAAAGTTGACATGTGAACTGAAGTCTCTAAAGGTAGCTGGGTTTAAATAGAAAAAAAGGTGTCCATTGTTTGTTCATTTGCCTGATCAAATTAAAGTTTATTTATTCACCTGAGAGGATGTCCAGAAGGTCGATTCATTCAGCAGTTTAATAATGTCATCAAAGACCCATATCATTGATCTGAGGCTGTTTGGCCATTCATGAGGGTGGCCTCATCCCAAGGGTAGTTACTACCATGGTTACAAGATGGTTGATAGGCCTCATGCTTCCTCGTTCATCTGCACTGGAAGAGAGACTGACTCTTCACTGCTCTTAAGTGTGTAGGGGAAATTTTCCAGAAGCCTTTAGAAAAACCTCTCTCCTCATTGGCTGGACTTAGGTTATTTGCCTATATTTGAAACAAGGGTAATCCTATCCTCTGGTAATCCTATCCTCTGGTAATCATGACCCCCTTAAGTAGAGTCCAACTTCCAAATAATGCAGTTGCTGATTGGAGTATGATTAAATGTTGGGGAGTCGTCCACAACATGTACTATTGTTAGCCTTTGTGAATTCCCTAGAAAATGGAGTATTTGCTTTGTGCAAGACCCTGTCTTGCATTCATAATTAAAACCTGTCAGTGAGTTTCTTAAAGAACAATACAGAAGACACAGGGGGAGGAATGAGAGTATTTCCTTTTATCATATCCAAAAAGGACCATTTGAGGGAGTAGTTGATAGAAAATTTAATCTGTTCAAGCAAATATAAAAGATTAGTTCATGGTGGCGATGAGGTGAAAAATTGGGAAACTGGATAATTTGTGAATACTTTGTTTATATAAAAGTGTGCAAAATACTCTCATACTTTTTCAGGTTTCTTAGATAAAAATTCATGAAAGGAAACCATGGGTTAAATACTCATCTTTTTATGATTAAATTTTAAGCTTCTTAAGATTATTGATTTTATATGCTATAATCCCATGATATCGTTTAACACATTCAGTTGACCCCCTAACTCTCTTGAAGATTCTATTTGACAACTCTGTGTGAAGCTTTTTAGTGCTTTCACTATTCAAGATCCTCAAAGCTCTTCCTGGTAAGTATCGGTAAGTACTGGCAAGACAGTGAGTATTTTCAACACCCAATTTTGTAACACAATCTTGTGGAAGATTATTAAAGCATCTTGCTATTAAAATTAGATTAGAGAAAAAATAGGATTTATTTAACATTCCATAGGAGAGGCCTGGCACAAATCAAGAAAACA